ATTGTCCTCTGGGGACCACAGCTGAGAACGAGCCCTGGGGACCTTGTGTGAGGTCCTGGACCCAGCCATGCCTAAAATCCATCCTCAGACTTTTCAGTCGCATTAATAAAGGCTCTCCTTTTCTGTGGCAGAGTCAAGCCGGCCTCTGTAACAGGTTTTACGTAATGGGATCCTGTCCAAACATGTTCACAGATCACAGTGCCCCAGTGGGGCCATCGCCTGTTGTGTCAGCCTGTCTGTCCCCCCTGCCCCCTAGCCACAGCTGGGAGTGGGAGTGGTCAAGAAGAACAGCCAGTGATTTGTGTTTAGAGAGAGGGAGAGAAACATCAATGTGTGGTTGCCTCTTTCACGCCCCCTTCTGAGGACCTAGCCCACAACCCAAGCCTGTGCTCTGACTAGGAATCGAACCAGTAACCCTTTGGTTCACAGGCCGGTGCTCAATCCACTGAGCCACACCAGCCAAGGCAAATTTTAGAAAGTTGCGTCCACACTCCTACCTCTGAAATGCATTCTGATACAAACAATGAAGTGGCCAAAATGCAGTGTTATCTTTTCTCTCACTGATGATCTGCTGTTGGATACAGTGGGCCATTGGATGTTTCAAAATGCACGTTTCTCTGAGACTCAGTAATCAACACCCAACAGAGAGCAGCGGTCAAGGGCATGAACCAGGGCCCAGCTCCAGCACCTCCGGGCAGCGTGACCTTGGGCACGTCGCCCGGACCCTCGATGTCTTCATCTGCAAAGCGCAGGCAGTGACGGCCCCCACATCGGGGACCGACCGGGACGGTCAGTGAGTCACGGCACGAGAGCCAGCCGGGACCAGGGCCGCCGCACACCCTGTGGCACACGACCGTCGTCATCCTCAGCCTCGTCCTCACACGCGTCCGCATTTCTGACCGGATCTCTGTGCAGAAGAAGAGGCCCGCCCCACCGCCCACGGCTCGGCGGGGGCCTGCGAGCAGGCGGGGAGCCCGCCGCCACCTCTGGCTGCCTCCCTCCGAGGGAAAAATACACAGGCCGATTCGAGCGTCTCATTACAATTACATAATGCTAATTGCCGGCTTTGTGTTCCATTTGGCAACTTGTTAAAGTAATTGAACAAAATATAACTAATGAACAATTATAATGAAGTTCATAATTAGGTCCTTGAAACACTTGATAGGGAAAATATTTCAGGTGCTTTTTTTAAAAATTATTTTTCATTTTTCAATTACAGCTGACGTCCGACACTGAAATAGTCTGAGGTGTCCACCCCAGTGGCCAGACATGTCACTAAGTGACCACCCCGGTCATCCCTTTTGGCCATTGCAAACAGTGCTGCTGTGAACGTGGGTGGGCAAACGCCTGCCTGAGTCCCTGCCTTCGATTCTCTGGGGTCCCCTGGTCAGGGTGGGATGGCCAGGTCATAGGGTAGCTGTGTCCCCATTTCTGGGGAGCCGTGAAACTCCTCCCACAGCTGCGCCCCCATTCCGTGTCCCCCCCCCCCAGGACACAAAAGGGCTCTGTGTTCTCCACATGCCACAGCTCAATGTTTTGTACGTTATGCATAAGTTCCAGGAACCACCACACGGGGTGAGACAGAAAACATGTCCTGCACCTCAGACAGCGCCCTCGTGGGCCTGGGAATTGTTGACAAGCTGCCCGGGCCACCAGGGTCCAGAGCGGTGGCCCTAAGCATTTCGAGGCGCGCTCTGCCTCTCTCTCGCTCTGGGAAGGCTGGCTGCCTCGCAACCTAAAAATAAACCTCTGCTCTGAAGAGCGGATATTAAAAATGACCTTGTCACCTTGACAGAGTGGCTAATGATGCCGCACGGGCAGAAGCCCATCCATCAAGGGCTGCGCCTTCCATCTGGGGAGCCGAGGGAGAGTGTGGGGCACGGAGTGGCGGGGGTGTCGGAGCGGCTGTCCGTGCCCAGGACCCAACACCTCTGCCCCTGCCTCCCGGGCCCCTCCCCAGATGGCGAACACGGAATCCGGCAGCCAGGCAGAAGGGCTGACCTTCCCGGATTCAATTTGCAGGGTCAACCATGCAAGAACTTGGGCCTAATAGAATTGTCACGTCTGTGTCGCAGCCATCAGCACGAGCGTGCCGGGTGTGAGCACGAAAGCAATTATGGGACACGGGCTTTGGCAAGACCCTGATGGTCCCATCGGTGGAGAGAGATCGCTGCCAAGTTGGGTTATTTTGGGGGGGAAAAAAAGAAAGAGAAGGAAAGCCACAGAAACATCCATTCTGAGACAGAGGAAAACCTCCGCCGCTCTCAACGCCCCCACCCCCGCCCCCTGTGAAGACTGCGGCAGTGGAACCCCTTCAAAAGCACCCTGGTCTTCAGAGTAGAAATAGCATTCTTTTTAAATGCTACCCACAATTCCAACCACGCGGGAACAATGGGGCATGCCGTTCCCTGAACCCTGTCTTTTAAAATTTCATGACGCACGAATTGATGCCCCTCCAAATCTAATTAGGGCAGAAGCACGTGACGGGGTCGGCGGCACCGTCAGTGACTGGGAAACCATACATGGCAGTCGATGTGTTTCACTGAAGTGTGATTCTTAAAAAAAAAAATCAAGACATTCAAGAAGTACCCCCTGCCCAATAAAAGACCACAAAATGAGGTTCATCCCAAAAAAAAGGATTCTTTCCATTATTTTGGGAGCCCCTCCCAGGAAGAAGGTCGATTCCGGTGAGGTGAAGGTCGTGGGCTGGCTCGGCCAGGCCGACAAGACCGCCCCCAACGGCACCACCAGCAGACAGAAGAAGCCTGGGCTCTCAGGCGACCTTGAGAAGCAAAGCCACCCAGCCACCGTGGCCCACCCACTGTCCTCGGGGCTGTTACAGGAGAAAAACTCTTTCCTGACCAAGACAGATTTGGGGGTGCTCGTGACAGCAGCCTCACCTGCACCCCAAGGACTACACCCATAAATCTGTGTGCCACAATCCTCTGCAGGCTGGGCCCAGACTCGGGAGCTTGTTCCCCATGAGACCCTCACCCAGGGCACTTGCAGCCCCAAGGGAAGGGTCTCGTTTGTCCCGGGTGGGTTAGGAGGCCAAGGAGACGCCTTTCCTGAAACGTGGGTTGAGGCGCTCAGGGTCCAGATGAACGAGCAAATCTAGGGGCCTTCAGGGTGCAGAAGGCATGGAGGGGACCAGCTGACAGGTGCCCACAAGGACAGTGAAGGAATTGAACCCAGTGCAGAGGAGCAGGGCATGAAAGGAAGGCTCTGGGGACCAGGCTCAGTCACCCCAGCGGGTGCTGCAGGGCTCCTTAGAAGAGTCTGCCCGGCCAGAAGGTGGGGGTGGGCCCGGTGCAGCTGGGAAGGAGCCCCTCGGCCTGGAGGTTGTTCCTGGAGGTGGGAAGGCAGGCACTGAGGAGGAACCGTGTATGGGACTGGCAGGGCAGGGGGGGGATGAGCAGGACCACAGAGTTGGGGCGCCCCCACCAGGCTGCTCTGCAGACTCACAGCTTCCTGAAGCTGCTGGGGTCAAGTGTGGAAGGGCCACCGGGAAGGGGCCACCACGGAGAGGAAAAGGCAGCTGGCCAGCAGGTGGCGGGTTTTCTAAGTGTGATACTAGGGCCAAGGCATGTGGGAGGCTGTGGTCCCAACCATCTGTCTCTCATTAATGAAGCTGCCAACCCGGCCTATTAATGGGGATGTGTAGGCGTGGTCGGCCTGGACATCTTGCCAGAACTAAAGGGCACCACACATACGCCTTAACAACTCCTCAGTCGACGTGAAAGGGTCCAGGCCTGGCCCCGGGAAGAGGACTGGCAGGCCAGTTAGTCCCATGGGGAGGATGAGTCGGGCCTGGGGGGCAGTCACCAACCAGGGTTCTTCCTGCTCAGGGTTCACACCTCCCCGACGACCACTCTGGTGCCCCGCGATGTCCACATCCCAACACCCAGAACCTGTGAACATGTCCAGTCACGGAGCAGGGGAGCGGGGGTTCCGGCTGCAGACAAAACTGAACTTGCTGGTCTGTAGATGGTGAAACTGGGAGACTAACCCGCATTCTTCGCCTGGGCCAGTGTCATCACGGGGTCCTAGTACATGGTCGGGGAGGGAGGATCAGACACCACGGGATGGAGGAAGGGGCCGGCAGCCAGGACGCAGGTGGCTGGAAAAGGCAAGGAGTCGATTCCCTCAGAACCTCTGGAAGGCACACAGCCCTGTTGGCCCTGTGGCTTTAGCCCAGTGAGACCCCTGTGGGCAGCTTCTACTCTCCAGGACTGTTAACAACTTGTGTGGGTTTAGACCACTATATTTGTGGTGTTTCGTTATAGCAGCAGCAGGAGACTAATACAAACAGGGAGTAAGTACTGTCTTAAAATACTCTGGCTGCTAGACTCCCTTGCAGCTAGGGGTGCTCTGTGGCCCGCTCTGGCCATGATGCAGAAGCAGGGGGGCACTAGGTGGGGTTTCCAGAAAAGACGTTGTTTTGCTAATAAAAAAGGGACAGAGGGGGATGGGCTTTTGTCCTCCCACCCAGCCCTTCTTCTGCCTGGAACACGTGGGACAGCAGAGGTAGGAGACAGAAGAGACCGGGCACTGTAGCAGCAACTCCGGGACAACGGTTGGCCTTCAGCTTCCTGGGACATGAGAAAAATCAATCCTATTGGGCTGAGCCTGGATTCTGTGATGTGCAGCCAGACACAACCCAAGGGACACGTGACTCTGGCAATGACGAGATAAGTGCTGTTGCCCAGAAACCAGCCACAAGGGAGCCCAGGTGAAGACATTACCGCCCTCTGGGGTGTGGCTTCCCACTGAGAAGCACTCTTGGGTCACTTGGTTACCAGGGACCCAGGAAATGCCCCAACCATTTGGACCTACCATCTCCCCCAGAGTACGGCACCCGGCTGGCCCACCAGCACAGCCAGCTTCCTGCCTGTGGAGCCAGGTGCCCCTCCAGAGAATGCATGTCAGCAAGCTGCGTGTGTGGTATGCACGCACACACACGCACACGCATTTTTGTTTACGGCATTAAATTCCTCATAGCAATTTCCCCATATGTTGTTTTATTTTTTTAAAGATTTTATTTATTTATTTATTTTTAGAGAGGAGAAGGGAGGAAGAGAAACATCAATGTGTGGTTGCCTCTCACATGCCCCCTACTGGGGACCTGGTCCACAACCCAGGCATGTGCCCTGACTGGGAATTGAACTAGCGACCCTTTGGTTTGCAATACAGTACTCAATCTACTAAGTCACACCAGCCTGGGCCCCAGGCTCACTTCAAAAAAGGATTTCATTGTGCTCCATTTTAAAAAATACAAAAACGAACATTAGGATTATAGGAATATGCTGAACGGAAGAGAACATACAATCCACTGGCTGTCAAACCCGTGACGTGGCTGTAACACCTTTCCCAGGTGCAGAGCCCTGGTGCGGAGAAGCTGCCTCCGAGGATCCATGGTGACCGCCGCTGGGGGGCGGGGAGGCTGCCAGCTCCCCGAGAGCAGCACCGCCCACAGGGTGGACATCCAGTTCTCCAAACACCCACACACCAGACGACTCACAGGAGAGGTTTCTAACCAGTCAGAGTCCACTGAGCAAGGCGCTCCTGTTACAGCAGGAGACCCACTCGCTCTCCCAAGGGCAATCGCTGTTCTCGGGCAGTGCCCACCGTTCCGCTGGGCAGACACGTGGCTCCACCAGGAATGGCACGTGTCCCGTCACCACACAGAGCACAGGGCGGGGGGTGGTCACATTGGGCCACGCCCTTGTGACAAGCGAGGAGCAAGGGAGGACGGCAGGCCCTGAGGGACAGTGGCCGGAGCCAGAGACCAGAGTAAAGGAAGGAGCCGATTTGCACCTTAAAGGTGCATAGTAGGCCCACAGAGGGGGCACTGAGGGCAAGATGGCCCCTTGTGCTGTGCTATTGCCAGAGGCCAGGCAGCGCCGTACACATGACCCGGCGTCTTCCGAGGCCACACACACACAGGCAGCCGCCAGCCCCTCTGTGCATGCATGCCGGAGCACATGTGCAAGGACATGCTCACACACACTGCCACACACACACACACACACACACACGTGTGCCCTGTCAGCCTCCAGGTCAGGATGGTGTGCTGCGTGCGGCAGCCCGGGCACCCCCACAAGGACCAGAGGCACGGGGCAAGCCCCCTGGAGAGCGCCGGGGCGTCTCAGGACCTTCCCGCGCACACCGGCACTGCGGCACTGACGCGCAGGGCGGGGAGGCGCATCAGAAGCCCTGCAGCTCGGGGACGTGCCGGTACAGATCCAGGGTCTCGGGGTTCGAGAAGGCCCCGCGGTGCTCCACAGCCTTCCCGGCGATGACCTGCTTTACGGCCACCTCCACCTTCTTGCCGTTGAGAGTGTACTGCCGGGGCAGGGAGAGTAGACAGAGAAACGTGTGAACCCGGAGGGGATGCACCCTCTGCTCTGTGCCCAGGCGCAGCCCACTGCTGGGGCCTGGGGACCAGTTCCTGCCCTGAACTCCTTTCTCAAACGCAAAATGGGGGTGACGGCACCTCCCCCAGGGCTGGAAGGGAGGGAGCACAGCTCTCAGGCATGCCTCGAAGCGTTTTGTCCTGATTTTACTATCTGCATTTACCTTGCTAGACTTTTGTAGGATAAAGACTTGTCATGACTTTGTCACTGACCGGCAACCGGAAACCCGGCTTCCTCCAAGATCCCCTCCGAACCCCTGTGACATGTTCTCAGAAGCGTTTGTCTGAGTGGGCGGGCGCGTGACTTTCTCTCGTCACACGGGGGCATTGGTGTATTTAGGGACCAGGAAGCTTCTAGAAAAACAGAGCCCTTTAATAAAGCCACTGGAACCCTGGTCCCTCCTCACCAGCAATATGCATATTTTTAACCGGTGGTGTAATTAAAACTCATTCGTTTGAAACATTCAGTCCAAGTGTGAACTAATTAAGGATCTGAGCGCTGGCTTCCGAGGGGCTGCCCATCACTGTGACGTCCTCAGCCCGCCGCCCGGGCGCAAGCGTCTCAGGTGCTCTCTTTGGGTCTGAGCTCCACCCAGAAGCTACAAGAACAGCTCGTGGGAACTAATAACTTATATCCTCCATCAGCGGACAAAATACACACAACGATGTTTTGGGGGAAATGCTGGTATTGTTTCCTCCAGGGAGAGGGGCTAGGGAGAGGCAGCAGCTCCTGAGAGAGTGGGGGGGGGGCAGGTGACTAAACTATGGCCCAGGACAAGGACACACTGGGTCGGGGAAGTCCTATCAGCCTGGCCGTGCCTCAGGGTCCCAGAGCCGGTCCCCTCAGCTGTGACCAACTCCAAGTCCCTGTGGCTGGGCCAGACCCTCCCCAGCTCAGCAACACACAGAGCAAATCCCCTCCCACGTGCTCCATTATCTCAGACCACGGGGGTCTGAAAACACCTGTAAGATTTCAGGTGACCTTCAGCATGACTTCCAGACCCAGCAGACAGTGGCTGGGGGAGGGCAGCTCGGAGCTGACCGGGCCCAGTGAGCTGACCACAGCGAGCTGAGGACGGAGACACAGCCCACAAAGCAGGTCCCTCGGAAGCCGCCCGCGTTCTCACCAGTAGACACCGTCTCAGAGAAACCACACTGCCAGCACCCGGTTGGCTCACGGCGGAGGAAAGCCGAGCGCACAAAACCGAAGTCCCCCGACTGCACCCGCCGCGGACAAAGGCCCCTCACTCAAGGAAGCCTGGACCCCCTCGGAGAGGCGGGAAGGGCTACGGACTCCAGGGGCTCCTCTCCCCAGAGAGCCAGCGAGTCGTGACCACAGGAAAAAGGAATGTGTGGGCACCGTCTAAAAAGCAGCAACCAGCCGTGAACATGTGGCCAGGGGAGCAAGGCCTCCGTGAGCACCGGCACACCATGGACCGGAGGGGGGGAGCACACCCCCAGTGCCCCCCAAAACTGAGACATGGTTTTGAAAATTTTGCTAAGCTTCAAGGCAGACAGAACTATCTCAGTGGCTCTAGAAGCTTCAGGGTCAAGGGCAGTGCGTCCCTCAGTGATTCCCAAGAGCCACGTCTGGAGTGAGGCCCGCCTGGAATTGCACCTCACATGGGCAGCTCGGAGCACGGCGCCACCTGCTGGCCCCGGTGAGCAGCCACTCCACAGGCTGGAGGGACAGCCCAGCTCATCTGTGTAGTGCTGTGTGCATGTGTGCACACGTGTGCACACACACACATACAGGGCACTTCCTTCTCTCAGCTGGCAGGTCGTTGTCCTGTGAGCAGAGCACAAGGAAGCTGCGGTCCCCTGGGCCCTCCCTTACCCTGGAACCCGAGCAAAGGCCACCAAGGACGCAGGGCCCGCAGGGCCCACAGGGCCTTTGCGTGGGTGCAAATGTTCCCACAGCAGAACCTACAGTGAAGAGGCAGGAGCCACCCACTGCGTCCAGCGGCTCTTTAAAGAGTTAGGTCAGCCTTCCCATCAACGACTTTGAGGCACACCACAACCGCACCAGGGCCAGACTGCCCTGTCCACCCCTCCCCTCCCACAGCAGCAGGAAGCCCTTTATAATGCAACTGAGTAAAGGTTTTAAAAAAGGGAGGGCAAGAAAAATGGGGCTTGTTGCCAGGCAACAGAGAGCACCGTAAGCAAAGCACAAGGGAGCCCGAGGTGAGGGGCCGGGTGTGGGGGCCGGGGGAGAGGAGGAGCCCACTGGGCCCTACCGGGATGCCTTCGGTCTCCAGGATGAGGCTGGGCACGTGCCGGGTGGACAGACCGACGCGGATGGCGTCCTGGATGCGCTTCACCAGGTCCGGCCCGAAGCTGTGCCCGGAGGCCATCTTCAGAAAGAGGACCACCCTCTCCTCCCCGTCCTTGTTGTGCTGGGGGACGCAGAGGCTGTCCGCCACCTCCACGAAGGCTTCCACTGCGGAGACAAGGGGAGGACATGCTCCTGCCGTCCAGCCTCAGCCCGTCCAACCCAGAGGAATGGAGGGGAGGCCTGTCTGCCCTCCCAGGAAGAGCGTCGGGGAGAGGGGGACAGGTGGAAGGTGACCCCCACCGGGAAGGCAGAGAGCTTCAGCTGGAGCTGGATGGACGTTCCACAAGGGGCTGCATGAGGCCCTTCCTGCACCAGTTCATTTAAACACACAAAGGAAGCGTGAACCCAGGGCAGGGCTGGTGGGAGGAGCGTAGACGCCAGGGCTGCAGCTGACTCGTGGCCTGAGCTGGGCACTTTGAAGGCCACGGGCAAGTCCACTGTGCAGCGGTGAGGCCCACAGGCCCGCACTGCACCCAGGGTCCTGCATGGTGCTGTGTGGCCTCCTGCCACCTGCGGCGCCTCCGTCTCTTCTCGTAAAGAGCAGACAGAATCGACCCACCTCCCAGGGCTCACCGAGAGCATGAAAAGGGACGGGGACGGGCCACATGACCTTAAGAATCCCCTCCTGGGGCTTCATGAGCTCCACGTGGACAAGGCGTGTCCTGACAGACGTGCTCACGAATGTCTGACTCACAGAGGGGCGTAGAGGCCCGTGTTCTGCCAAAGCCTTCGGAAAGCAGGCCCCGGGCTCCCCCAGGGCCCCCGCCCTTCCTGGGCGGCCTGACAATAACTGGGAGAGGGGGACCACGTACCGATGTTGTAGATCTCCGAGCTGCCGAACCGCACTCCGTTGGGGTTGAGCGTGCCGTCGCTGCAGAGACGAGGTCGTGAACACGGGGCAGCGCCCGAGCAACGCATGTTGCCGAGGGGGCCCCGGGGTGGCATCACCCCCTTTCCACCCGGCAACACTGGCACCCATCGCAGAAGGCTCATGTCCCCACTCGTGATCCCGACCAGCCACCCCGTCTCTGAACTCGAGACCAGAGGCCGAGGCAGAGCCCTTCACATGGACACACCTGTCACCTCCCTGTGACAGGGTCCCACCTGCACCTGGGTCCCTCCCTCCCAGCTGTGCTGTGGGCCCCCAAAACCCACAAACCCCCACTCTGTCCCGAAAGAGCTGTCACCCCTGGGGACGGTCACTGGCTTTGCCTTTGGCACGGCCCCCCCTCATGCCCTTGGCCCAGTTCGGGGCACAGAAACCTAAACAGGCCTTGGGAACTGACACAGGAAGTGCCCCCACGCCCCCCGGGGCCTCTGGAAGGGGGTCCAGGGAAGCGAAGCGGACCGTGCCCCTCACCTCCGGCCCAGCATGACGATGCCCCCGGTCTTGGGGTTGATCTGGCAGTAGTCACCGTGCGTCCAAACACCTGCAGGGGCAAAGGGGCAAAGCGCTCGGTCACCCTGGGAGACGGGGTCCTGGCAGCGGCCAGGCAGATGCCCACCGCAGACACAGCAGCAACAGGACGCTCATCAGTTGAGCACCACGAGGGCCACCAGCACACACAGCCGAGGGGGGGTCTCGTTTGGTATGGGGCGGGGCACGCACCGGAGCAGAAGTGACCCAGACAGCCCCGCCCACGAGGAGCACCCGGGCCAGCGGGGGCCTCCGTACACGGGCTCGGCGTGTGCCCGCTCCAGAAACGCGCCTCCTTCAGCCCCCAGCAGGGCCACGGGGACTCACGGGGGTGCCAGGCCAGACCCCACTGTGCAGATGGGAGGTGGGGTCTGCGGGCCAGTGGGGCTTTGGGGGAGGGCCCTCTGAGTGCCCTGTGGGGAGAAGGTGGTCTGGAGGGGCTGGGCTGAACCGGGACCAGCACGGCCAGAGCAGAGCCAGGCGAGGCAACTGCAGGCCCCGCACTGGAGGCTGGACCCATGGCACCGCCTCGTGGACAGAGGGCTGGGGGCAGGAGCAGCCCGGGGGACATGGAGGGCAGGGGGAGAGGGGCGAATCCGAGACGATGCTGACACGAAGCCATCCTGAGCCACCCCCACATGGCCCTTGTCCTGGACTCAGCACAGCTGGCACACCCACGAGGCCAGCCCCGCCTCGGATTGGACCCCACCCTACAGCGAACCTCCAGGGGAAGCCGTGCCTCACGCAGGAACCACCCAGGAGGAATTACGGCAGCCAGACCCCTGCCCTGCCCCACGAGCAAGGCTCCGTGGGCTCTGCAGCCATGTGACATCCTCAGCCACAGCGGCAGCCGGTCCACCCTGGGGTCACCCTGTCCTCACCCTGTCCACAATGCCATCAGCTGGTCTGCCTTTCTCTCTCCACAGCTGTTCCTATCTCCCACCCACCCCCAGAAAGTATCTGAGGAAACCACCCTCAGAGCCGACCCCACGAGGGGACTGCGTGGAGGACTGGAACCCTGCACAGGGGCGAGAGGACCGCAGCAACAAGGCAGTGACTTCAGCGCTGAGCTTCCTGGCAGCCAAGGCAAAAATGGAAAGAAAAAGTCACAAAGTATTTGTTTTCTCTAAAAAGGCCTATTTCAAGAAAAAGACTTATTCCGAAATCAACCCTAAGAGAACTTAATACATGAGCCGCGCCTGCCTAATGAAAAGTGACAGTTTCTGCAGAGCAGAGTCACAGAAGATGAAGACAGTCCTCAGGCGGGGCCCTGATCCTCGTGGCCTCTCTTTCTAAAACCGGAGCCCCTCCGTGAATGCACATATATTTCTCACTGTGCCTTCGTCGGTCTGGACAGTGCGGCGGGCACGCCGGGGCAGCCAGTCACACCCGGGGGCCGGGCAGCACCAGACACGATGGCTTCCGGGCAGGATTTGCAAACACGTAAGGCTGAGAGAAAATGGGAGGGACCCCGGCACACATGACTGCATGGGTCACCAGCCACATTCTGGTTTTGAGCATGTGGCGTATGAAAACCTATCACCCTGCTGGACAGTGCGAGAGCAACTGCTCCGTACAAGCCGCTCTGGGGCACAGGCTCGCTGACCCACGGACTCTGCGGCAGCCACGCTCGAGCTTGCTCATGGGAGGAGGGGCAGGGGCTGGGTCAGAGCTCTAAAGCGGAGTCCCCTGCCCTGGGGCTCGGCACCCACGGGGTGAGAGGGAAGGGCCTGGCTGGGAGCCGTCCAGTCCCACCACAAAGCGCTCTGCCCCCGACGTCTCTGAAGGAACCGGGTGACGGGCCAAGCGGCAGAAAGGCAGAGTCCCGGGCCAGACCCCTCGCTCTCACAGGCAGACGCAGCCCTGAGCCTGACAGCGGCCTTCCGGCCCCCCCCCACAGGCACACAGGTGTCTGGTCCCCCCACGGGCCGAAGGGGCTCTGGTTAGGATGAAACTAAGCCCAATCACGGCTTCCTATGACGGCCTTGAGCTAAAGTGACAAGGTGCCCCGGAGATCACGGTCACCCCACGGGCAGGATGAGCTGTGGGGGCCTCTCCAGACTTCAACAGGGAGTTGGAACTGGCCGCAGACGGCCCCACCCCCACACCCTGCTGGCCCGCGCCCCCGCGCACCTGGGAACCTGGAGAAGTAGGCCTTCCTGTACTTGCTGCCGCCCGGGTCGTTCCAGAAGTGCGTGGGCTGGCAGGGGAACGGCTTGGTGCACACCAGCTCGCCGCTCTCTCCCCACACGGCCTTTCCTGGTTTGGGAGGGGTTCAAAGGTCAGCGGCAAACACACCTCGGCCACCGGGCGTGGCCCTACTGTGGTCATTCCCTCTTCCTCCCGCCAGCAGGGGACCCATCACCTCCCTCCCCGTTCACGCCACGGGTGAGGGTCACGGCGGTGGAGGCAGAAAGAGGGCAAGTCCCTGAGCCTGTACAGTGCACATGCCACATGCCAGGCCCTGTTTGACCCTGGGGACACAAACAGGCTTTGCTCTTTTACAGCCGCCAGCCGAGACTGACTGACACCGAAGCTTGTCCTGAGCCAACAGAGAGGGCAGCAGGGGTCCTCGGTCAGGGCGGCAGGCCGGTGAGGCCACAGGGGTGCCTCGGCAGCACCGTGAGGCTCGGAGCCCGGGGGACACCTGCCCGCCCACCACTCCCAAGCACCCAGCTCTCTGTCTCCACTCCAGCCCAGTGCCCCCTCCTCAGGGGGCAGGCTGCAGGGGCTGGGGCCAGGGCGACCAGGGGCGTCGGTACACAAGACAGGGGCACAGGCACTGAGCAAAGGCGCACATCCACATCCTCCCAGCCGCCACGCACCCCCGGGTGCAGGCGGAGACGCGGTGGAGCGTACCTTCCTCGTCCCACGCCTCCACGGCCATGGCCAGGTTGCGGGCCTGGATCTCGCCCCTGTGCACAGGCAGGGAAGGGTTCTGGCCCATGAAGCAGGACACGATGTCGGTGCCGCCTGTGACAATGGCAGGAGGAGGCTCAGAGCTCGGAACCCAGACAGACTGCTTCTGCTTTCGTTCCTGAGCAAGGAGAGCGCCCCCAAGGGCAGGCACCCCCTGCTCTTTCAGGCAAACCCTGAAACTCCAGGGGGGAGGGGGCGGGGATTTAGACACTGGCACAGGCCTCACTTTCCATATCCTGGGGAGTGTTTGTGACCGAGGGCCCTGCTGGAGGACATGAAAGCCGAACACCTCCCATGGCCACACCAGAAGTCAAGACCCGGTTCACAGGAAATGGGCGCCTCACCCACCCGACCCACCCACAGGCATCGTGCAGCTGGAGGGCACGCACGTTCACGGGGACAACCGGGACCTGCCCTCGCCCCCGCCAAGTCCTGCGGGGCCCCCCCGGCACCTGTGCACAGCAGCCGTACCTGAGATGGAGCCCAGGAGGACGCTGCTCTTCACGCACCGGTACACGTAGTCGTAGCTCTGGGCCTTCAGCGGGGAGCCCGTGGACAGGACGGTGCGCAGTGTCTGCAGGCTGTGGGTGTCCACTGGGGCGAAGGGTCGGAAACATGAGCCCCGCGGGCACCCCAGGCGGGCCTGCCTTCAGGCGGGCGGTGTGTGCGGGGGGTGTGGCTCCCCTGGCCTGTGGCTGGGGACCAGCGCTGTGGGGCACACTCACCGGGCCTCATGTTCCTGTCTTCCAGAATAGCCAGCCACTTGGCACTCGTCCCAAGGATGGTGATGCTGAGGACACAGGAAGGACAGAAATCACCAGAAACGCCTCAGGTCCTTCCCAAGGCGAGTGGCCCGCTGCTGGTGAGCGCGTGTCACTTTTCTGAGTTGGACCGACTCTCAGCACGTGGCTGGGGGCGAGCCCAGGCCCTTCGGCTCCCGGCGCCCGGCATGCAGCGCCCGGCATGCAGCGCAGGCTCCTGAACAGTGGGCTCCTGAACAGCGGGCCCAGCTTCAAACAGCCGCTTCCACACAGGCCCCCGGTGCCCCAGGAAGGGCTGCTCCCTCACGGGGGACCAAAGGAGGCCGTGACACCACAGCCCTCGGATTCAAGACCCACACGCTCCTCTGGAGGTGAAGTGGGGTGACTGAGGGTCTTGGGGGCGGCGGCGCCATCCCTGGGATGCTTGACCCATCCAGTTCCTCGAATGTACTAACGCTTTCACCACACAAAGTTCTCAAGTGCCTACAGCTGCAGCCGCGCACACACACACACACACACACTCCCCATCCCGCCGCCGCCGGCACTGAGACAGCCGCACGGTGTTTCCTGGGGAGAGCGCTTTGTCGCGTTCTGTGTCCTTCCCCACGGCAGCCTCACCCGGCAGGCTGCCTTCCTAAGGGAGAGGGGTTCTGCTGGGGGCTCAGCAGAGGCTGGACAGCCAGGTGCCTCCCCGCCCTGCCGCCCAGGCAGTAAGACCTCCAACCGCCACCCCTGGCTGCAGGGTCAAGTGGCAGGTTCCAGCAGGGGCAGCGACACCGCTTTCCACTGGCTTCTGCCTCTGCTCCTCAGCATTCCCGTCGCTGACCCAGACGGGCTGGGCGGCGGGGCAGTCGGGAGGGCTCCAGGGCCCTGTGGAGATGCTGGCCAGCACTGGGGGGCCACTCGCAACAGGCCGGGCTCTCCTCCTGGCCGTCGGGCGCAGACAAGAAGGGGCGGGCAGCCCCAGCACGACACCTACCCGACCCTGTCGACCAGGTCCCAGAGCACGTTGGCCGTGGGCAGCAGCGGGGAGCCGTCGTACAGGACCACGGCCGCGCCCGTGGCCAGAGCGGACACCAGCCAGTTCCACATCATCCAGCCGACCTGCAGCGGACAGAGGGAGGTGCAGGGCGTCAACCCAGCCCCGTGGTCACAGGCTCCTGGCATCAGCATGTGGACGTCTTGGGGGCCGCTGTTCTCCCTCCCGCCCCAGACACCTGTCTTTCAGTGAATCCCCAGCGTCACGTCTCTCCCGGGACACCTGCCGCAAGCTCCTGCCCCGCTGGCTGGCGGCAGAGTTCGGTCATGTGATTCGGGCCCCTCGCCTCCAGAGGCTGCACTGTGCTCCTGGCTTCTCCAGACTCCCCTGGGCCCTGGGCCCTGGAGAGGTGGCGGGGGTGGCCGGGGAGGACCAGCCAGCTCAAGCTGCTCCAAGTGCAGCCAGAGGTCACGGGTGCTGCTTGCTGTTAACACGTGCCACCGGGAGAGGCCGAGAGGCCAGGAAAGACCACAGCGGAGCCCAGAGCCCCGCCTCCCTGGAGGAACACAGCCACTGAGGAGGGCGCAGAGGCAGGGGCCCCACCAAGCACAGCCCCGCCCCCGGTGCCCCTGGCGCCCACTCACCGTGGTGTAATACAAGATGGTGTCACTGCTGGTCATGTCCCCGTGCAGGAGGTGCTCCTTCAGGTGCTGGATGAGGGTGCCCTGGGGAGGAGAGGCCCGTGAGCCCTCCGGCTGCGGCAGTGGCTCTCACCCCCGGCCCTGAGGCTGGACTTCCGACGCCCCTCCTTGGCCCTGAGGGACCCAAGCCCACCCTTCAGTCAGGCCTGCAGACGGCAGCGCCTCATCCACAGCAATGGAGCCCCGGGGTTAGGAAATTCCGGGGATGAAGCTAGACCCACAGTTAGAACCGGCCTTTACAACAAGGGACCCTTGTCGGACCCAATAGGAAGGGAAAAGCAAGCCCACTGCAGGACCGATCCCTTTAAAGGCCCAACGCAAGCCATCCTGCCCCACAAATTCTGTAATTCAAGAGGCAGAGCCCCCACTGCAGAGCCCGCTCCAGACAGCTGCCCTTGGGACCTGCCGTGTAGGGCAGTGCAGAGACTGCTGGGAGGGACAGGCCCCCGCTGAGCACCCCAATGCCACCTGCAGCCCCCGGGGCCTCCGGGGTGCTTATGGAGAGTGCGTGGTCGGGTGAGCCAGGACGGACCCCCACTGGGCAGGCACTGGCTTCCGTACAAAGTCCCCAACACACCGTCCTCCCTGGGGGACAGAGAAGGGTTCAGGGACCCTCTGTCTACAGTAATGAGTCACACTAGAACCAGCAGCAGAGCCCGGGGCCCCAACTACCTGACCCTGCCCCAAATCCTTCCCCTTTTCATGTTTACTTAGCATCAGCGTTTGGCCGACACCTGTATCTCCCCCACCCGCTCTGCTCAGGCCTGGCCTTCTGCAGCCCAGGCCGTCTGACCCCGCCCTCCTCAGGGGCACGAAACAAGCCGGGCAGCTGCGATCTCAGAAGCTCTGCGTGGGGGCCACGACTCACAGGAGCAGTTCTCCGCTGGCCCCGTCTGGGGCAGGGACATGCGTGCAGCGTGCTGTCATGGGTCTCAAGCAGGAAGAATCGCTTCAAAGAAGGAAAAGGGGAGCTGCTTCCCGAGAAGCTTCACAGACTTGGAAAGAGAACCAGCAAACCTGGCGCAACCCACCCCTGCCCCGGGAAACCAGGGACCGGCCACCAACCACCGCCACAGCCTTCACCGGCCACTTTCAGGTCTCCGGCCCAGACGGCTCGAAAGCCTGCCCGCTGCTCAGTCGCCTCTGGGGGCACGGGAGCCCGGTGAAGACGGAGTAACTGCGTCCCGATTTTCCCATGCTCTAAGCACACCGGGCACGAAGATTTTATGAGCAGACGGTATCATATCTAACACGTTCTTCTGTCCCTGTCCTAAAAAGTGACGTTTCCAACGCAAAAAGCACTGAGAATGGAAGTGCAGCCATTCTCAGTTTCTCCCGAATGTCTGTGCTTCTGCCACACTCGGCCCCTGCCTGCAGCCTCTGACACGGCACCTCCACGGCCGCGCCCCGGACCCCGCCCAGGCGGCCAGGACGCCCCTCTGCTGGGGGCATGGGCCCCGCCAGCTGCGCTGAGCCACACCTCAGAGCCGGAGGCACACGCCTGGCCCAGCAACGAGGTCACTCGCTCCCACAGAAAGCTCCCCCAAAACAAGCCTTCGGCCCGACGCCCCCCTCCCCCTGCCCAGGGTGTCGAGAGAAGCCTCCGTTTCTGCCAAAGCTCCACAGCTCGTTCCCAAACAGCACAGCTCAGCAAGCGAGGGACGGGGGCTGTTAGAGCGCGGGGGGTGGGGGGGGACCCCATGCGGGCAGGACTCTTCTTGGTGGGGGCAGGGGGTATGGGGCGCAGGAGAAACAGCTAGGACAAGGTGTGACCAAGACGCTGCGGGACTCTCCCTCCTGCCCGCCAGGCCAGCAGAGAGAGCCGGGGGCTGGCTGTGGAGGGCACTGCCCAGCTGGCCGGTGCACAGGCCCGGGGCCATCCGAGAAGCAGCTCCACGGGCCTACAGGGCCACCCCGCCCTGTGGTGATGACCCCACAGTGGCACTGGGAACGCGGCACTCTACCACCGGCCCAGCCCGGATCTCCGGGCAGCACCCCGGTGCCACGTGGGCGGAGACCTACCCCGGCGGAGTGCACCATGCACTTGGGCGCCCCGGTCGTGCCCGAGGAGAACACAATGCAGAGCGGATGGCGGAAGGGCAGCTGCTCGAACTCCAGCTGGGGCTCTCGGTCCCCTTTCCCGGTGGCGAGGAAGTCATCCAGAAACACACTGCGGGCAGAAGGCGGGGGGTCAAACTGTGGGCACCCCCTCCTGGCTCAGACATGGTCCTCGCTGCCTCCGTCTGGCTGGGCCCCAGCCTGGGCTCCAGGGAACGAGCCGAGTGGCAGCCAGGGGTCGGGAGGTCTCCCCCCCAAACTCAGGCAGACTGAGGGGAAGCCCAGTGGAAACCAAGTCGCTTTAACAGTCCCATGGCCAGGGCGGGGCTGTCCCTTCCTCCAGCGCTTCAGGAAATAAACGGAGGCAGGGCTCTGAGAGCCGCCATGGTGCTGCCGGCACTCCCCCGCTGCGTGACTGACACCGGCTGTCACACACCCAGGTTGCCAGGGTTCCCAGGGGACAAGTCCCAGCCCCCAGGCCTGCACATCCCAACACAGGTGCTCCTGGGGACCCAACCCACTCCTGCCTGCAGCTGTCACCCTCTGTCACCATCACTGAGAGCTGACAAAAGCACTCTGCTCACAGCTGGACTGTGAGAAAAAGGACTGTTATCACCCCATTTTACAGATGGGTAAACCAAGGCACGGAGAGGCTGATCACCTGCACGAGGCTACACAGTGATACCTGAACCTGAGTGGTCTAGCTCAAGACCACGGCCCTGGGACCACTGCCCTGGGACCACGGTCCCTTCGCCTGCGGCACCCTTTGGCCACCGTGACCCTGGCACCCACAGCTGTCCCCAAGCCCTGCTCATCTCCCCGAGTCAGCTCAGGAGCCTCGTCGCCCAGACTCTACGAACAAGCAATGACACCCCCTTCTCTCGACAACCTGGAACTCCCTGCCCCCCAACAAGCCAGCCACGCAGGAGCCCGGCTGCACCTGTGTAACCGCCCCCTTCTCGGCCTCCAGGGGCTGCTCCCACAGCGGGGACAACGGGCTGGAGGGGAGGGCTTCCCGGCAAAGCAAACCAGACTCGACTTGGGGGCTCTCCCCACGGCTGTCCCAAGACCGAGGTCAGCAGTGGGACTCTGAGCAGGCGCAGTCCGCCTCCCCCATGTCCGTTAAAGACCGAGGTGCCCACAGCTCTACTCGGGGCTCGAGGCGGGTGGTGTATCAGCTTGTAAGTGTGAGGAAAGGGAAGGAAGACGCCATCCGCAAAGAGGACAAAAGTAGGTTCCAAAAGGAAAATGCAACGCACAGGCATTGACACATATATACACGTGTGTGCAGACATGTGTGCATGCCGATGTGTGTGGACATGTGTGTGCGTGTACACACATGTTAGTTACTTAGGTCACCGATCCCAGGAGTGGGGCCTGGCGTCCCCCCGAAAGGGATGCAGACAGCAGGAGAGGGTTCCTGGGACTGTCCCTGTTCTCACACTAACCCGCTCTGGGGCCTTGTGGGGCTCAGGCTGGGGCCTCGGGCGCCCGTCTACCAAACACCAATCTGCACGACAACCGCCTGCACGGCTGCCACAGAAAGTGAGAGAAGCCCCCGAACCCCAGGGGGGGCGGTGGGCCCCACCCGGGCCCAGGGTCAGCACGAGGCCGACTCACCTGTTTGGGATCTTGGAAATGTCTATCTCCTCTCGGGAGGTGACGTAAGGGATCACCACCACTTTTTCCAGGTCTGGCAGTCCTGAGGGAGAGGGGGGAGAACACGCCCGTCACAGCCTCCGGGCGCCAGGGCCACGCAGCGGCGTGTCCGTCTATCCCGTGGGCTTGTGCAGCCTGCAGCTGGCACGGCCCTTGGTGTCGCCAGGCCGGCGGGGACGGGGCAGCCACACACCTCTCACGACCCACTGCAGCTTGTCCAGGTGGGCGTGCTCCTTGCCGTTGTACACCACGGCCTCCACGGAGAACATGAGCTTCGGCTGGATCTGGGAAAACCGGTCCAGGACACCCTGGGAGCGGAGGGAGACATTCGTCACGGGTCACCCAAAAGGCGCCCCTCCACAGCCACGGGCCCACTGCCCCGTTCCTGTGTCTCCGTCACCTGGAGGCCAATAAACACAGTCGAGCAAAGCACGACATGCGCCCAAGGTTACCATCACTTTAAGGAAGGAGTCGGCAGGAAAAGAGGGCAAATCCGAGTTTCTCAAAGGGGAGAGCTCGGCGCGGCCGCACTGCCACGCAGGCCCCCCCACCTCCACCACACGCAGTGGGGGGCCCGCCTTCCTGACCGGGGGGGGGGCCCCCGACGCAAGCTGAGGGGGTGGCCTCAGGCACACATGCCACCACCTGAGAGCCGTCTGAGGGTGACACGTGGAAGCCTCCCCGACAGACCTTCCCTGCTCCCCTCCCAGCTGTTCCCCAGTGCAGACCCCAGAAGGGCCCCTGCAGAGACCGCCCCCAGAACAACGCCCCAGCTCCAGCCCGTCAGGCCAGTGCAGCTGGTGCCAGGTCAGCACCCGAGCTGCCCCAGGGCCCAGGCAGGGGAGGCCAGTGCCCCCTGCATGTCACAGCCACCCGAGATGGACCCAACAATTAAACTCATCGGTGCCTAATCGAGTGCTTGCGAGGGGCCAGGCGTTAGCACAGAGAGCAGAGCACCCATCTAAGGCAGCGTCTGCATCAGGGGAGGCCAGGGCCCCACAGAGGGGACCCCAGACCCACGGACTTGGGGACTCAGGGGAGGCACCCGGCAATCCAGGTGATTCTGAGCCACAACCCAACCTGAGACTCGGAGCTCCAGCTCCAGGGCTGCCGCTCTGCTCTTCTCGAGGGTTGTCTGGCTTCCCAGACCAGAAGCTGAGCTGGCAGAGGAGGGCCTGGGGGGGGAGGAGGGTCTGGGGGGGAGGGCCTGGGGCAGTGGAGGGCCTGGGGCGAGGAAAGTGACCGCTGGTCCAGTTGACTGGACCACACTCGCCCAGGGGACCGCAGGTGCGGGGCTGCTTCTCCCGGGAGTGCACACATATCACGGGAAAACCCAGGAAAATAATCACAAATGCTACTGTCTTCAATTCCCAATTATTTTCAGGGAACCGCGTAACTCACAGTTTAGGAAAAGAAGGAAGAAAGAAATTAAAGCTGAAAGGAAAATGTAATGATGGAATCAATCGATAAAATGCAAAATCGTCTTCCCAAAAAAAAACCAATAAAATAAACCTCCTGACAAACCTGACGAGAGAAAGACGGCAGTCCCGGCCGGCCCCCACGCAATCACTCGCTCCTCACTGACCAAGCCCTGCAGCCCCCGCAGCCAATGCATCTGCGCCCGGTGCAGATCGGCTATGGCATGAGCCCAGGAACCTGAGCCAGGAAGGAACCACCAAGATGCACAGCCACGGCTGCTGTGTCCTCCTGTACAGCAGGGCTGGGGACCAGAGGCGCTGGAGTGACATTGAGCGGAGACACTGGGCACAGGACATGCCACCCATGAGGCCCCCTGACTCTCCCCACCCGGCAGCCGGGGCGCACACAGTGGGTTCAGCACGTACTTCCTGCCCCAGCCTGAGCCGCTCTGGGCAGCTGGGTGACCGCTTGCTGGGTCCTCGGTCCCCACAGGGTTACAGGGATGAGGAGACCCTCGGCCTCACACAGAGCACAAAGCCCAGACCCCAAGTCTGAGATCAGAGACGGCAGCAAGGGCACCAGGTCTGGGGGAGGGGCTGCGGGCAAATCGGGAGAACTGTCTGCGCGGATACACATTCAGAACATCTCATGTGGTCCCAAAGTCACAGGAAGGTGACCAGGCCACCTCTCCACACCTCACCTGGCGCACAAAACACACACTGAAGTGGCCCTACACACAACGGGACAGCGCTCAACCTAAAACCATGCTTTCGGGTTCAAACACAAGACCCCCACCCCCTTGGGAGCCTGGTCTCCCGCTGTCCTCGTGTCCCCGGCTGGCGAACGGGGGGGCCATAGTGACGACACTTCCTCCCCGCCTTGGCCCCCCCCAGCTCCATCGGGAGTTCCACCCCACACGCCCCCACACAAGCCCCCGTGAACCCTGAGGCAACACGGCCCCATCACCACCTCCAGTGGGGCCCCCAACTCACGTTCACGCCAAAGTCGGGCGACGTGGAGCTCCAGATGGCGCCGATGCTCGCCGCAGCCAGCATGGCCTCCACGGCGTGCTCACCGTTGGGCAGGTAACCTGCAGGGGACACAGGGGAAAGGGCTTGGGCTCAGGGCATGTCAGGTGCATCGAACTCCCCAAGGGCAAGGGCATCCCCCACGAGTCAGGCAGGAGTAGGGAGAGGGGTTAGCTCTGCCCTCCCCGCACCCCCTCCCCAGAGGCTGTGACACCTCCCAGTTGGATGGCTGACCGGTGCTCCCCCAGCCACTCTCAGGGTCCAACCAGAGGGACCCCGCAGCCCTACTGCACGCTGCCCCGCCTCCTCTCCTGCCCCATCCAGCCACACGGGGCACGGTCGCAGCAGCCTTCCTTCCTCCGCTTCTGCTGCTGCTCCCAGCTCCCTCGCCTCGGCTGTGTGCACCGTCCCAGCACTTCCTGCTCAGGGTGCGCTCACCCCTCAGCTCCTGACTCAGAGGGGACTTCCTCAAGGAGGCCTTCTCTGCGGCCACCCCCCAAACTCAGGTGCCCGGGACAGTCACCCACAGAGCACACTGTATTCCTCCCTGACCAAGCTCACCGCAGTGATCCCCCATGTACAATGACCATGACGGGCTGGTCAGCACCTGGTTCTCAAGTGCGGCAGAGACCTCGTCCATCCCACTCTCTGCCGTACCATGCCCTGCCTATCCAGGCCTCACACATCAGCCTGCTGGCAGATGGATGAATGGACAGATGGATGGTTGGATGGACCGATGGACAGGTGAACAAACTGATGGGGAGACAGTTGGATAGATGGATGAATGGACAGATGAGTGGGTAGATGGATGAACAAACAGACGGATGGCAGATGATGGATGAGGGATGAGGGATGATAGATGGTGGATGAATGATGGATGGATGATGGATGATGGATGGACAGATGGCGGACTGAGGGAGAGGAAGGAGAGGGGAATGAAGAACACGAGCAGGACAGCAAGGACATACACAGGCCTATAAGGGGCAGAGGAAGGGCTCAGGCCTCCATCGGGTCAGAGGCTTGGCTTTTGACGAGAGACAGAACCTCTATGGCCAGAGAGACTACGATCAACTAAACGGATTGTCCTAAACATCCGGAGGAAAGGCTTTGCGCACAAGGCATCAGGGGCAGAAGGGCCAGGGCTGAAGGCCTCCCCTGAGCAGGGCCTCCACACCCACTGGGCTGCAGCCCTGAGAACCCTGGGGCACTCCCCCGGGCCTCCTTCTGCTGCTCTGAACCCCACCTGGCCAGGGCAGGGCCCTTCCATTACTTCAGGGCTACGCTGCCTCTGCCCTGCCTGGCCACAGTGCCCACCGGGTGGGGCTCCCCTGAGCATGTGGTGCATGGCGGGTACCGAATGTTTGCTTTGGAGGTGAGGACAAACCAACACCTCTCGATGGTGCACCAACCAGGGATGCCGTGTGGCCCAGCTGGCTGGGTGGGGACTGACCAACAGTGAGGAGGCGACACAGGCTGAGCCAGGAACAGCTCTGACTCTGTCAGTGACGCCTGGCAAGCATCTCCCCACCCAGTCGTCCTCCGGACCTGCTCCCTAGTGCCCTACCCCTGGGAAACGCCCAGTCTAGTCCTCCGACCATGGTCAGGGCAAGCCGGGGACCCAGCCACGGTGGTCAGAAGGGGCAGGCCACCAGGCACCAGCCTGGCTTGGAAGAATCCAGGGCACTGAAGCCTCTGGGGTCCCCCAAAGCCAGCACAGCCAAGAGGGGCTCCACAGTCTCCCCCAACACACCTGCCATTGGTGCACCTTCAGAACATGGGCTTCCAAGGAGGTGTTTGAGAATGAGAATCAGAGGGAAGAAAAAAGCTGGAGAAGGACCTTTCAAATGCCTTTTTTAGGCCTTGTAAGGGTACAGATTACACTGGCCCATGCTGCTGTGGGACGGCAGTGAGCTGGCCGGACGCGGCGCCTGGCCTCACGGGGTTCAGAGCTCAGTGGAGGGGCTGACAATCAATCGCAAACAGACACAGATAGGGACCACGCTATTACAGTGCTTGGCATCATGACTCGGGGCCAGGGATGTCACAGCACCCCACAGAGGGGCTTGGAGGGATACTCTGAGGAGGACGGGGCAGGAGGGAAGGAGGAGGACCTGTGGATGTGGGCTGACCGCGGTTCCCTCCCGGGCAGGCCGGGCAGGCCGGGCGGGCCGGGCGGGCAGTCACCCCGGACACAAGGCTCCTTCACTGCCAGGCTTCCCTGCGCCTTAGGCGGGCCCAGTCCCCTGTTCTGCGTGTCTGGGGGGAGCGCACCTTTGCGACGCCCCCTTTCGGGCCCCACCCTCTACCCGCTGACTACCTGTCAGACCCTCCCGCCAAAGCAAACAGCACATTATCTTAACTGTCCCGTAAGCAGGCCCCCGCCAGGCTCTCTCTGGCCTCCGCAAAACCTTGCTGACCCTCAAAGGCACAAAAGAAAAGAAACTGCAGACAGTTAGCCTCCTGCCGGGACCTTTGGCTTCAGGACAACATCTCATTTCGGATCCTGGGGCCTTACCCCGACCTCAGCAAAACGCACTCGAACCTCAGCCCCACCCTGGCCTGAAACCACCACCAGAAGCCCTCGGGGCCACTGCCACCCGTCCCACTTTGGATGCCGGGCCAGGCCAGGGCTGAGAAGGCAGCAGAACTTCTCTGCCCAGAAAAGATGCTCAACAAGCAGCCACTCCAGCCTCTCTGCCGTCCCAGGGACCAGTGAACAAAGTCAGGGCTCAGGTGCTGACAGGGGTCTCCTGGCCCCAGGGAGCTGCTGAAGAGGCCACACCTTGAGCCATCGCCTTCCTCGTCTACTTCTGCTGCACGAGCACCTCTGGAGGTAACCACGTGACTCCAGCCTTACTCCAAAGTTGCCCCAACCTCCCAAGACACTCCCCGGCAGTCCCTCCCTGCAAACTGTGACAAGTGCCCAGAGTGCTCACCGACAACACAGTCTCCTACTGTCACGCCCATTTTCCTCATTGCTGCTGCAAACAGAGCCACTTTTTGCCGCAACTCTTCAAAAGTCACCTTCCCAATTTCCTCTTTGCCTTCCCCTGGAAGAGAGAGAGGGGGGCAGGCTCCTTTCAGTGCCACCTCCTGTCCCACCAGAGTCTGCACAGGAGGGGTGGGCCCAGCTGGGATGGGCTGCCTGAGCGGCGGGGTGGGGGGGGTGGAAGCCGGAGCACCTGCACACAGTGGGGGGGGGCATGAGGACCCCATCGGAGAAACATGCAGAAATTGGGACAGGCATGCTCCGGTCCCCAACAAACAATCAGCCAGGGTAGGACCCTGCTCAAGAAGGCTCCCACGTGTAATCTCAATTTGATCCCTGGCTTGAGGGGACCTGGTCCCAGTGTGAATATGAGGGGGGGGTCATCACAAGAAGAGGCTCCACTATTTAAAAGAGAGGCTCTACAGGGGAGGAGGCAGGAGAGTGGGCAGGGGATCGGAGGGGAGGCGGGATGCAGACAAGGCTGACCCCGTTACCACCCTGCCTGGCTAGCAAGCGGGTGTATTGCCGTTTTCAGGCATATTTTGTGATTTGCTTGTTCAAGACGATTCATGTGTGACCTCCCCCTGTCCCTGGGGCGGGGGAGCACTGGGTGCCCCCCGAGGGCCTGACAGTGTGTGGAAGTGTACAGGGGCCAGGAGGGGAGAGAAGAGGGGACATTGGCATTTGAGCTCTTCAGGGTCACAGAAGCGCCGGCGGGCTCTGTGTGCCAAGTGAGGTTCGAGAAAGCGCCACCTCGCCGTGGGGGTTGGTGCGGAGGGTCAGCCCTTCACGGGCACAGAGTCTCGGTGCGGCCGGACGGAAAGCCTCCACAGGTCTGTCACACGGCAGTGTGAGTGCCCCTGACACCACTGAGCTGTGCTTAGAAGTGGTCGAAAAGATTTAACGTGACATGTGTTTTACCAAAGTCAAGGAGAACAGGAGAGGTGCTGAGACGCTGCCCGGAAGTCAGGCCAGAGCCCAGAGAGGAGAGCGGGAAGGCAGCACGGCCGCCAGGACTCACTGGCCACGTAGAGAGCGGCCTTGTCGTTCTCTCTGTGCTTCAGGAGGTTCTCCGCGTAGTTCAGACGGCTGCCTCTGAACCACTCGGGGACGTCCGCGACCCCTTTGGATGTGTCCACGACCTGGAGAAGGGGACAGCAGGACAAGAGGGGGCCACTCGTGAGATGGACACAGTGAGGAAGTAACCTCGGCCTCACCGACCGGGAAGCCCAGCGCATCCTCCACGTGTTTTACAGACTGAGCCCCGAACCAGCCTGAACAGACCGCAAGGCCCTCTGCTCAGCCAGGTGGCGCCACACACCTGAAGCTAGGAGGGTGGGCGTAAGCATTCCCGCCACAAAAAAAGGCAGGTCTCAACGGTGTGAGGTGATGGATGCACTGATTCCAAAACATTCATGCATATCAAATCATCCCGTTTTACACTTGAAATACATGCAATTGTATCTGTCCATTATTCCTCAACAAAGTTCTGAAAATGAATGCCAAGGGGAAACACCACGCTCATTAATTTATTTTTCAACAAATATTTAAGCACCTAATTTAGGAGAGATGCTGAAGGTAGAAAGTAAATAAGGCAGCCCTGGCTGGTGTGGCTCAGTGGATTGAGCACTGGCCTGCAAACCAAGGGGTCTCTGGTTCGATCCGCAATCAGGGCACATGCCTGGGTTGTGGGCCAGTCCCCAGTAGGGGGCGTGCGAGAGGCAACCACATGTTGATGTTTCTCTGCCTCTCTACCTCCCTTCCCTCTAAAAGTAAATAAATAAGTAAAATGTTTTTTAAAAAACCACAATAAATTACATTTTCAATATCAGGACTTCCTTCTCCAGCTACTTACTAATTTATAGCATAAGGACTTGGAAAAAATCTCTAAAATCCAGGTTAAAAAAAATAATGAAACTACTGATAATTTAAAAAACCAATAAGCTGGATGCACACACCGTAAAGTCACTGAACCGCACGCTTTAAAGTGGTCAAGATGATAAATTTTACGTTATGTGTATTTTATTGCCATTTTGCAACTTTTTAATCAAATAAACAGAACGATGGCCAACTGCATAGGGTGGTCGAGCCCCCAGACGCTCATCGAAGGGGCTGGAGCCGGCGTGGGGTTCATGACCCCGGCGTGGGGTTCATGACCCCGGCACGGCTTCCTGCCAGCGCTCCGGAGCACTGACGCCGCAGCGACGAGAGGTGGTAGAGGAAGGGAGGGTGCGGCGTTCCCAAACATCAACGCTGCGTTTCGGACCACAGCCAGAAAACGATGACCCAGAACGGAGAACCCTGCTCACCTCATCATACATGCGCGAAGAGACAATCCCACTGAACTTCCAGAATTCTGCCCAGAAGTCTGCATACGACTCAACCGACCACTGGTAGAGGTCGTGGTAATTTTCTAGAAGCAAAACAAAAGGGCGCAGAGCTCGGTGAGTCTCGGGGGGACAGTCCCAGAGGCCTGGCAGTCGGGCGGTGGCCCTGAGGAATCGTGGGTGTGCTGAGTGATGCACAGGCACCCGCAGAGAAACGTCAGGGTGGGGGGTCTGACGTCTCCGTGCCACCAACCCCCCCACTGCCCGTCCCCAAGGGGAGCGAAAGCCACGAGGCAGCGACTCCGTGTCTTGACCAGCGTGCCTACAAACAGGACCCGGGAGCTGTGGGGCCTGGGCTCCATCCAACCCTGGTTTGGCCATTTATCAACCGTGCAACCTCAGGCAAGCGGCTTCAGCCCACACCGTGACTCAGTTTCCCCATCTATCGAGTGGGGGTGATAAATAGAGCCCCTCTCCGCAGCACTACCGGGAGGCCTCGGTGAGCGTGCGCACAGAAGGCTGAGAGCGGGCCCTGGACGGAGTCAGACCGCGGGAAGGGTGTGCCACCCCCGCACCAGACAAAGTTCAAAACCGGAAGCTTGCTGAGGCCCTCTCACTCCAGGGCCGTGTGTGTGGGGGGGGGGAGTTGTCTACTTATCTGATTTGTGAGTAAGCAATCCAGTCCCGTGATTCAAAGTTACAGAAGTACAGAGGGCCGCGTGGAAAACGTGACTTTGCTGGCCCAGACGTCCCCGGTCGCCGAGCGCCGTCCGAGCGCCGTCCCCCGAGAGCTCGTGTGCGAGTAAACTCATCCCCAGCCCTGGCCCCGTGCTCAGTGTGTGCGGCATCTTCACGCCAGGCTCTGACCCCTCGACCTGCAGAGCGTCCGGCCCCCTCGGACCTTGTCCCCTCAGCAGGACAGGCTCTCACAGGGTGGTGCCCCAGCACAGGGTCACAGTGGGAGGGCGGCCTCATCCACTGGCTGAGCTGCACTAGGTCTCTGTCCTCGGCCGACTGCAGATCGCCCTCTCCTTGCTGTCCCCAACCCTGGGAGCACACACAGAGGAAGGGACACAAGGATCCCAGCCCTATGGCACTGTCACATCTCACTATGCTGCAGAAACTATCCCTAGTCATGCTGGACACGGGAGCAGACCCTGTGGGGGGTGCCCAGAGAAAGAGGGCTGGGGGAGCAGGATCAACCCAGAGGTCACATGACCAAGCTCTGGGGACAGTGTCTTCAGGGCTCAGAGCTCAAGCAAGAGGGGGAGACCGGCTCACAGAAGTGATGGCCTCACGTCCTCCAAGCCCCACGAGAGCACCTGACCCAGCCCCTCCCCGTCCACTCCGCCGGGGGCCACAGAGCAGGCCAACCAGGCAGGCAAGGAAAAACGCCAGGGACGGCACGTCTGCCAAGCGGGGGCAGCCCTGACTCTAGCCATCGTGCTTGGGGACCTCAGGCAGGCCACTCTGCTCCTCTGGGACTGAGTTCCTCTCAAGTGTCACCTTGATATCAGCTGGGGAAGGCCAGGGATCCTTCTACGATCATGCAGACTCAACCCTGAGTGTCAGGGCCGGGCTGGGTCACCTGCATTCGAATCTCAGCACTGCCACTTACTAGACACCAACCTTGGGCCGGGGCTGCACCTCTCAGAGCCTCAGCACTCCCATCTGTAAAATGGGGCAACAGCGACTCCTTTAAAGGACCGTGGCGAGGACAGACAGAGCACGTGGCCGGGAGACCGCAGGCTGTGAGCTGGACTGCCCCTCCCACTGAGGGGCTCCCACGAGTCAGTCAGGGGGCATCTCTGGGCCTCAGCCTCCCCAGCCATGGAAGGAAGATGGTGACGCTCATCACAGGCCACCGTGAGGGCTGAAGGACTCACACCATACACAGCACTGAGGGCAGCGCTTGGCAGGGCCACTCATCAGCCATTATCGTCGCTCCTGGTCACTTTGCAGGAGCGGGGCGTGCGACGGACCGTGTGATCGTTGTGTGAAAAGCTAAGATGTGGACACGGGGTGTGGAGTGCGTGGAAATGCCGGGTCCTCGGTCAAGAACAGGTGGGCCCAGCCTGGGTGGCCCAGGGAGAGGGGCCTCCGGGAGCTCCTCCCTCTCCTGGTCTCCTCGTTTGTTTTTAAGTCACCTCGGTCCCCGAAAATGAAAGAGCTCCGGCACCGACAACCCCTCCTAAGTGACACGAGAGAGGGACGGGGGGGCTGGGAATCCAGGGCCCCAGCGACTGCCTCGAGAGGCCCTCACAGTGGGACACTGTCTGCCTGCCCACCCGGGGGACACAATGGCACTCTAACAGCACAGGGACTCTGTGCAGGCAGTTCCCCCTGGTGACGACGGGGCCAAGTCGTCCAATACGATTCCTCAGGCTTCCACTTGCACCCACGGCTCCACCCGGGGGCCACAACCTGGGAGCCCAGAGGGCCAACCACAGGCACAGTGGGGGCTCCGTTCCCACGTGTTCATAAAGCGCTGAACCCGCTGCCAACACGAAAATCACGGCTTACAAAGGGAAGTTGGGGTTTCTGGCTTCTCGAGAGAAAACAGCCTCTCGGGCTGGGGCGGCCAGCCTGAGATTCTCAGCTTGGAAACTTCAGGTCCCTGGGCCATCCCCTCCCACACCGACAGGATGCCCGGAAAATGAGTGGGCGGGGCTCCTGAGGCTGGGTCATAAAAGACACTGCGGCTCCTGCCGCACTCTCTTGGATCTCTTGCTCTGCAGGAAGTCGGTGACTGTGCGGTGCAGACACAGGCAGTCCTGGGTGGCACTCCTGCCCCACGACCTGCACTGACCCACTGCCACTCGGCCCCTCCAGCCTCCATCCAGCCCTCAGATGACAGCAGCTTCCAGAGACCCAGCTCCTGAGACCCTCCCAGACGCCCGAGCCACACAGGCTGAAGGGCACCGAACATTTACTGCTGTTTTAGGCTGCTCTGTCTTGGGATGATTTGTTACGTACCACAGGTAACTAATACCCTCTGATGCCTTGCTGAGACTATCGGCTGGGGCGAGGTCCCAGCTGCCCCGCCTGGCCTTTCACCCCGATGTGGGAGGCAGCTAACACAGCAACGGAGAGCCCTGGTTCTAGAAACAGCTACAACTCCCACACTCACAGCTCCGAGGCCTCAACCGAGAGGCCTCAACCGAGACTGAGCTCCGTGTCCTCAGCTGGGGAATGGGGTGAAACCAGAGCGGGCTGGCCGGTTACTGAGGGCTGGGTGAGTTAACATGCAAAGTGCCGAAAGAGGCCTGACACACAGAACTCGCTCACCCAACAGGAACTGTCCTGAACACCTGTCACCTGTCCAGGCCCTACGGGCGTTCCGGCTTGCAAGCCTGCTTTCCTTCCACCCCTCCCCCCTCCCCACACGGTCAAATCTCAGCCCCAGACTCCGTGGGCCCTACGAAATGGCACTCGGAGAGACCTGGGGCGGGGGAGGTGCCAGAGGGTGGCCAGTGCTGCCCCCACAACTGGCACCCTGCGGCACGGCTACTTCTCCCTGCGGCCACACTCCAGCTACTGGAGAACGGGGACACAGCCTCCCACGGGCTGGCACATGGCACCAGCCTTCAAAGAGCACGTGCTCCAAAGCTGTGTGGCTCCCCTCGTCAGAGGGTGGCACATGCAGCATGTCCCCTGGGGCCTCGACAAAGAGCCTCGCATCCCATGCACACAGGCTGGCCGCTCCTGAGCAGGCCTGCCTGGGCATGCGGGGGGACCCAGGTGGGCTCTGCTAGGAGCAGTGGCCAGAACCGACCAACCGATAGCCCAGTGGCAGAAGAGAGATTCTGTGACTCCACCAAGGGTCTGCCCCTCCTGAAGTGCAGGGGTGGAAACGCCAGGCCAACCTTGATCTGAAAAGATGGGGCTGGTGGAAAGGCGGCCAGGTTGGCGACCCTGCCCCGCCAGCCACCTCAGGGCAGGAGAGAGGCTGAGGTGGCCCCAGAGAACATGCGCCCCGCTCTCTCTGTGAGTACAGTCAACAGCACGGCTCAGCACCACGCACCTGCTGCACAGCGCCACTGCTGGGGGCGCGGAGGGGACAAGGGCAAGGCTGCGGCTTCGAGCAATAAGAACGCGCACAAAGAAGGCAAGGCAGGGGGCAGGTCCAAATCACACGCACTTGGAGAACACAGGAAAGAAGAAACCGGGGGAAGAGGAGACAGCCTCTGGGCTGGGTCTCAAAGCGAAGCCCCAACCTCCAGGGCAGGGCCTGTGGGGAAAAAAGCCAAAGCAGAGAAAAACCCAAAACCAAGCTCTAAACGTACCCACTCAGAGGAAGGAGCCCCACCTGGCTTGGCTGACGGCTGTCACATGGCCACGCAGACCCAGCATCACAGGCTGTTGCCTTCTCCGAAGAAGCTGGAAATCTTGCTTTTCCTACATGGTCTCCCAGTGTGGAAGCCACCTGAACTAAGTCTGCAGGTCCAGTGTGGCCCACGGGCCACCAGGCCACCTCCCACGACCTCGCAATTCACCCTGTGGCCCAGGTGGCCCATTTCACAGATGAGGAAACAGAGGCTTGGGGTGATCCAGAGACTTCCCCCGATCACACAACTGGTGAGTGGTAGAGCCAGTTTGAACCCAGGTCGTCAAATTACAGCCTGGTCTCACCAGTGCAACAGGGCTGCCCGCAGGTAAAAACATTTTGCGAATCTCTCAGCTACAGCCTGAAAGGCCCAAGAGTAACAAGACCCATCTATCTCCAGCTGCTCAGTCTCCAGGGAGCGGGCAGGCAGGAGCAGAGGGGAGGGGCTGGGTGGAAGCTGCCAGCTGCACCCTTCGCAATCCATGGTCAGCAGGGAGCCGTTGAGAGCCTGGGAGCCAAGGAGTGACAGTCAGGCCCCTGCTCCCAGCCTGCTCTGGCAAGGTGAGCCGGGTGTACTGAAGGAGGGGGGGGAGGCAGGAAGCAGGAAGGCCAACCAGTGTTCCAGGGAGAGAAAACCGGGGCCCCAGGAGAGGTGCCGGCGCCAGGGTGGAGGGGGAATGGAAGAAACCAGTGTGGCTGGGGCGGACACCCTGCACAGGCCAGATGCCAGGTCACCACTTCTGTGAGGCTGGCTGAGGAAAAAGACGCCACCGACAGAATCCCAGAAGTTGCTGCGGGCAGCTGAGGGGGCAAGAGGACAGGAAAAGCCACGAAGAGCTGAAAGGTCCAGCAGGTAGCAGGACAAGCCGGCAAGAGCTGGGGCGAGCACATGCAAGCGCCTCTCAGAAACAGGGGCCCTTCGCTACCCTGCCCACACCCAGCCTGGTGGCTCCTGAGGCTAAGTGGTGGCTGGAAGGAGGGGGCCCTCCAGGTGTGCTTGGGGCTGGGAGGGAGCATGAGGGAAGGGCACCGTCAAAGGCAGGCTGCCACCAGACCATCCTTCTCCCTGGTGCCCTGAAATAACACGCTGGCCTTCTAGCAGGGTCAGCCCGGGGCGGGGCGGGGGGGGGGGGGGGGGGCTCTTAACAAGAAGCAGCATGAGGTGCGACCCCCACAAACGAAGGAGAGGAGCTGCAAGGCAGAAAGGCCTGTGTGCTCAGCAGGAAGCCCCAGGGGCTGGAGTGCAAGACCCCAGGGAGCACCTCAGCTCACAGAAAGGAACTCCTGAGCAAGAGACAGCTAGCTGTGCGTAGTGGGGAGCAGGGAGATGCTGCAGTCAGAAGTTCAGCACTCTGAGCGGGGAAGTGATGCCCCACACAGGCAAGGGAACTAACCCCCACAGTCCAAGGCGCCCCATCCCCTGGAGAGGGACACCAGTCCAGCGACTCCTCCAACCCCAGAAGTGGGAAACAACATCGGGAAGCCCTTCCAACAACTAGGAGGGGCCGCGAGAGCAACGTCCAGGAAAAGGGGACGCCTCAGGGCCCCAGGAGGCGAGCCCCTCCACCAGGTGGGCCTCTCGGATCCCGAGGGAGGTGGCCAGGGAGCCGCCTGGCAGCCACGCTCACTCACCGAGCGCCAGGCCGCAGGCAGCGCCCACGGCCGCCCGGAAGCGGTCCATCAACGTGATCTTCTTGCTGTCCGGCTCCCACATCACCTTGCCCTCCAGGATCTCGTCCGGCCCGGCCCGCGGCGGCTCCTTGGACATGGCTGCGGCGGGGGCGCGGCGAGAGCTGGATGGCTCGATGGCAGGTGGCTGCACACGCCGCGGAAAGCGCAACTGAACCAGCCGCGGCCGCGGCTAGTAAAACACGCGGGGAGCCCCGCCCACCGAAGCCCCGCCCGCTGCAGTCCACGCCCACGGACGTCTCCGCCCTTTTCATTCGTCTCCGCTCTCTCTTGTAACCCTCCGCGGATGCGGCGCGTTGCAAAGGAGTGCCAGCCGCCGAGCGCAGTTCGGCCGGGACTCTGACGTGCTCTCCCGGCGTTGATGGGGCGGCGCAGGCGCGTTGCGGGTAGAAGCAGCCCGGGAAGCCAGAGCCGCTGGTTCCATCCGGTGTTCCTACATTCACTCTTGTTTTTTTCCCAGCTGCGCGTCTTGACTGGGTGCCTGCTGGGTACTAGGCACTACTAGGGGTTTAAGGATTCAGCTGTAAACAAGGCAAAAGCCATGCTGTTCTCGGCAACACGTAAGGAGAGAGGGTCAGACCATGAACAAATAAATACATCCCATGTATGTCGTTCACAGGATAATGCTCACGGGGCCATACACAGCACACCAGTGAGCATCATGATATACAGAGTAGAGTATTACGTAGAATACTGTTCGCACGTGAAGAAATAAAGCAGGGAGAAAGGTAGGTAGTTATTATGGGAGGTTTCCATTTAAATAGAGGTGGCAGGGAAGATCCCATTGAGAAGGTGGCAGGGGTGAGCTGGCTGCCCCCGCCCCCTGCGATGAGAATTGGAAGGTTTTGAGCAGAGTAGGAACATGATCTGACTGTAGCTGTTTACTGATGGTATTCGTACCGTACCTTGGTGCCCAGAGCTAGGACCCGTCCCTATATTCCTGTCATAATTCATTCTCCCAGCGACCCCACCACTTCCCCCCAAGTGCAGTATTTTGTAGTGTTGAAGTTTTATGAAGCCAGCTCCCCTCTCCACCCCTGACACAGTTTCCATCTCCTAGTCACTACAAATAAGCACAGGTTCTCACTTAAAACAGGGTGCTTCCTCTATAAACGTGGCTTCCAGAAAAGCTCCATCCTCTGACCTCCCCGCCCTAGGGCCTGGGGCTAGCCCTTTGTCTCCAAGTTAATGCCTTGGTGGAGTTTCATCCCTTTAACTGGAGAATGCAAGTTCCAGAGGAGCAGTGCACTGGTTCACCACAAGGCTCTCAGCTGTGTTCATTTGTTCATTCATTCATTCATTCATTCAGAAATAGTTCATGCCGGCCTGCTGGGCACTAGGCTAGGGGGTTCCTATGTGTAAAGAATGAACCCAGCCCTCAGGAGGGCACGGAAGTCTGTAATCTGACCACCGGGTTGGCCAATTCTCATGGAACCAGGAAGGGCTGGGTTTATACATCCACCTGACAGCCACTTGATTCATTCTTAATCCTTTTGGCCCATTCAACCAGACTCAGGGGGTCCCAGGGAGAGTAGACGAGGTCAGTGAAGGAACTGGGTGCTTTGTCACCAGGCCTGGCACATGTCCCCTGGGCTCCACCTTGCTACCCCCATCCTTCCTAACAAGATCGGGGTGGTGGAGGGGGTGGAGAGGAACAGATTCCAGAAAGTGCTTCCCACTAAAAACAGGAATGGAGCTGGGAGGGCCCTGCTTTTCCAAGAACTTTGCATCATCCCCCCTTGGTTAACTGCAATCCCAGCTGGCACTTGTCCCCATTACTGGTTTTTGGTACGGATTCAGATGGACACCCTGCGTCCACCACACTCCCGACCTGTGCATCCCATCCCAAAAAAGGGAGAAGAGACTCAATTCTGTCCCCTCTGGAACTGCCTGCAGGGAACTGATTTAACCAGGCCCCCTATCAAACCTTTCCACCTGCTCAATCCACTGAGCTACACCAGCCAGGGCCCCATCACACTTTTCATAAATAGGGTAGAAATTTGCCAGGCTAAGGAGACAGACACTTCCCTAAGAGCACGGACCTCCTCATCATTCCTTGGAATTTGCCCTGCTCGCCCCTCCACGGAGAAGCCCACCCACGATGCTTCTTTCTCCCACTGGAGTGAGCGTTAAGTTACATTCCCGACATTTCAGAGTCCTCACTGTTCAGCTGGCCATTAACCAATACAGCAAACTGTGAGAACAGGCTGAGTCCTCTGGAGTCTGTTGAAAGCCTTTTCGTGGGCTGGGGCCTGGGTGTTCAGAAATAGCAAGGAGTTGCCCCAGAAAGGCCCACAGGGGTGGTCTGGAGAAGGCCAGGCAGCCCTAGAGGAGGGAGAAGCCGGGGCCATCTCAGGGGAGTTCATGTGCTTCTGACAGTGCAACTCTCCTCCTCTTCACAAAACATGCTGTGCTTTGTGCACCTAGAAACAGATGTCGCAACACGGGCATGGATGGGAAAACAACAAAGTTTTTGTCCTCGGGAGGGGGCTGGAAACCAGCCTGGTGGAAGGCCTGGTCTCTCCGCCCCCTCTGAGAATGCCACCTTCGGCGTGTCTCCTGGGAGGACGGTGCCGAGAATCGGCTTCTAGGAAGTTTTCTCATAGGCTTGCATGGCCATTTTTAAAAAAATTGAGCATTTGATAATAAAGTGAGACGAGGCTTTGCTATCATTGGAATGAATATGCCCCGATGTGATTAAATACGATATATCTTATTCATCTTACTGATTAACGCACACCAACTCGGAAAGAAACTGCATTTTAAAATATATTCTTCAATGTTCCTTAATGTATCTGGAAAAATTTTAAAGTCTTGGAAAGTCCTACGTTTTTAGTTAGAAGAATCAGTGTTAGTAAATGCCACAACTTTGGTTGTCCCAAAATTAGAACATTTCAACCCAAGGCAGACTTTCCGCTTGGGAGAAATGTCCAAGCCAGAGAAAGATGAGCCATTGGTGGGTGGTTATTAAAGGAGGCTTTGGGGTCGGGTTGCTGATTACGCCCAGGGCAAGTCCAGAACGGGGTGAGTTCCGAGTCAGCCTCTGCTGCCGTTAAGTGGCGAAGAACAATGAGCATACACATCATTTCCCTCATGATTGTAAGGGCCGAGGGCATGTGAGGTCAGGGATCTGTAAACTGAGTGCATTAAAAGCATCTGGATGCCCACACCCCTTAGAAATTCTGTATATACCCTCAGGGATCAATATGCCCCAATTTAAAGCGCCCCCCCCGCCAATCTAAGCCAATCACAGCGCTCCTTTTTCTCCTTTGCCAGTGATTGGCCCAGAGTCCTCACGAGACCGAATGCTAGCCAATGAGAGCGAAGGAGAGTGTTGTGGGGCGGGGGATTCTGGACCGGTTTTCCTCCAACGAGCCAGGTCCTTGTCAGCTGTGACAGATATTTAGCGACCCCTAGAAACAACGCTGCGGAAAGCTCAGGAATAGAGCGTCGGGGCAGAAGCGGGAAAAGCTTAGCCTCTCTGCTGGGCCACCAGTGCAAGCCAGTGACCGGCCCTGGGCTTCTGGCTGAAGGAACAGTAACTGCCATCCTGGCTTAAGCCGCTGGCCGCTGAGCTGTCGCAATTGCTGCCAAAGGCATCGTAACTGAAGCAATCACCAAAGGTCATTTTTCTTGCTCTCCCCTCCTCCCCCAAGGGACTCTCTTCCTTTTAGTAGTACACCCATCGCCCCTCAGACGCCCAAGCCAGGACCCCTGGATCAGCTTCTGTGTCTCAGGGTCCCATAGGCAGGGGAGCCAAAAACTGAAAACTCTCCACCCACGTGAGGTGAAGCGGCCAGCCCAGCACGGATCTCTAGGAAGAACCTTCCAGACAAAGGCATAGCAGGTGCCAAGGCCCTGGCACCTGCCACGTGAGGCCCCGGGAGGCCACGGGTAGAGACTTCCGGTTTTATTCAAGGTGTAGTTACAAGCCATTTGGAAAGTTTTGAGTGGGGTGTGTGTGGCTTAGATTTTTAAAGGATGGGCTTGGGGTGGGCAGGGCACAATCAGGGGACCTCTTAGGAAGTTTTTGCAAAAGTCCCCATGGGGTGTCATAGTCGCATGGACTAGGGTGGAAAGGTGGGGATGGTGAGAAGAGGGATGGATAGATGGATGGATGGACGGATGGATGGATAGATCTTTAAATATCTACGTGTACAGAGAGATACTTTGGAAAGCAGAGCCAAGCGGATCTGCGGCTGAGTTAGATAAGCAACCTTGGAGCCCACAGGGGAGAACAAATTCTAGCATAAAACTCATTTTCCCCAAGTCAGAACAAAAGGAGTAATGAAGTGGGGCTACAGGAAAAGGGAGAAGGCCAGACTGCAGGACGCTGCCATTTGCACAGCAGGCTCTGCAGGCCCGTCCAGAGGCAGGGGAGGGTATGACTCCCATCAGACACCCAGCCAGGTTCCCTGATGGTATCAGGCCAAAGGGCGTGTGAGGATTTCTGTCCCTGGTCCTCCTGCAGTGGCTGCCAAAACCCTCCCTGTCCACCCACAGGCTTGTGGCGATGGGGCACACGCCAGCTGCCGAGGGCCAGAAGTGCCTGGAGCAATGTGTCAGAGTTCAAGCTCCCCACCTCCTCTCCAGCCCCAAGGACAAAGGTGAGGAAAGAATGCAGCTGTCTAACCCCGCACCTTCAACAGAAGTCAGGCCAGGTAAAAGGTGGGGAGTCCCAGTGGAACACTATACAGCAGTGAAAAGGGTGCTCCAAAGATGAGCCAGCGTGACAAGGAGACTCCAAACCGTAATGCTGGACAAGAGCAAGTACCAGGCCACAGACGCACCCCAAGTGTCTGATTCCTTTCACAGCAAGGTCAGAAGCGGACAAAACCCAGGATATCTGGTTGAGGGACACATATGTTTTAGAAAAACAGAGAAGCAAAAAAAAAAAATACTCCACTTTCAGGGCACAGGTTTCTTCTAAGAGAAGAAAAGGGGGTGAATTTAGGGAGGGGCTTCCCAGGTACTGGCTGTGTCCTATCCGCTGGGTGGTAGGTACCTGGTATGCATGTACATTCTGTCACAAACCAGACACACATACCATATTCAGTCTTTCTGTACACGCTTCATGATTTAGGAAAAGCGGGGCCTCACACCTCTGATGACATTCAGGGTTGTTTCACTTCACAGCGGTTGCCCTGGAGCAAACACATAAAGGCTCACGGCGCACGTCAGCACTTCCAAAGGGGCAGCCTCCCGCTCCAAACTTTCTCCATCCTGATGCCGGGAAAGGAAGGTTTCCGTGCGCACAGTCTGGCCATGGGACTCAGTCATCCAACAAATTGTCCTTGATGGACAGGAGGGCCTAGAGCAGGTTGGGGACTATGACCTGAACAAGGCAGGCGTAGCATACCCCTCCCCACACCCCAGGCTCGCAAGCCGGGGACAGACCCTCCAAGGTGAGGACCCTCCAGGGTAATACCCAAGGTCCTCTGGTTGGATGTTCCTGAATCGCCTAAATCAAAGTATATCCATGAGGCGCATTTTATTATAGTCAAGGAAAAAATCAAAAGACTAGGCGGTTGTTTGACTCATTCAAGAAGACTAAGCCACCAAGGACTGGTTTTTGGTGAATTGTTCAGTCGGGCCAATTCTGCAAATCCAGTGAATTGATGATTTGACAAACTGGCTTTCAGCAGATTGGTTTTCGGTGTGTCAGACCCGTTCTGCGGGCATCGCCTGACACAGACATTTGTCATCAGGTCAAGCTCACCCCCTCTAACCGGACCATCCCTGGCCAGCCAACTTGTTAAGCATTCCTCCCACCGCCTACCCAGGCACTCGACCCACTGTCTCATTTTTTCCCCTTGACAGGGCAAGACAGTTATCCTGATCATCGTCTTCTGTCTCTAACCTTGACCTCGAAGTTCTGTGAAAGCAGGGGTAGGTGCCTCGTGAATGTACTCTCCCTGCAGCCCACTGGTACCTACCACCATGGGCTCAGCAGACACTCAGAGGAGGCGGCGCCTCACACCCTGCCTGCGTCTGGCTTCCTTCTCCTCTCTTTCTGCAGAAGACAGGCTTCCGGAGAAAAGGATCATGAAAAATAAGGGGTCTCCTGGGTGTTCATCCAACCCATATGGTGAAGAAAAGGGCTAGAGGGCGTGATAAGATGCAAAGAAACCTCATTTTCGCTCTCATACACACTTCCCTGTTTCGTGCTGTGCCCGCCCCACCCCATGCAATGCCCATAGTGAAAGGCCTCTGGAATGCTGCTCCTCCTCGGGAAACCAACCTCCCCCCCAAAAGGACGAAGCCAGAGGCAGCATGACCCCGCAGAGCATGACTGACTCCTCCATCCTCAGGACTAGAAAGTTATTGGAAGCGCCCTGAAGGCACAGAGGCTCGGAGAAATCTATGAAATTCAAAACTCCACCAGGCAGGCCGCAGGGGCAGGACCCCCGCGTCTACAGATAACATCTGAGCAAACTCAAGCCTAGAGTCCTGTGTCCACTGCTGTCACGTGACTGCAGTCCCTCCTTCTTTGCAATCCAGGGAAAGCTCAAAGTCCTAACCCCTCCCAGCTGGTGCCCTAACCCCTCAGGGCTGGTGCATTTCTCTGGAGCCTAGCCTCCTGCCTCCCTGAGAAAGCAAATTAAAATTTGCTCTCGGTTGTCATTGTGAATTCTTTCACAGCCCGCGTCGAGGGCCACCCTAATACCACCCCCACCCCATTTTACTGGGTGTGGGTGCAATTCAAAATCGCACCCAGATGGATCCTCCACCCATGACCCTGTTTGTACCCATAGCACTTATCAGTATCTGAAATAAGTCCTTGGTGAGCCTCCAGCAAGCCGCTCCACAGCACTTCATTCCCGCCCATCTGGTTGGTTCACCAGCCACTCCCGGGAGGTCCGGCGCACTGTAGCAGCCCAGTAGATGTTCATGGAAAGATTAGAGACCTCAGGGCGGAGAGAGTCGGAATTTGACCCTCTCGTCCATACTGCAAGTCTATACTGGGCATGTTTTTGGACATTTTGGGCAATTTAAGCCTTTCTTCTATTTTTACGAGCGTCCTTTTTATTTATCATATTTATTTGTATTCATGATTCTTTGGGTGTTGTTTCTTAATCCTTTTGGATGTTAAGCAAGAGTTTGAATTTTCCGGATGGGTCCTTCAAAGTAGGCAAGGACCGCCCGCTCTAATAAAGCCGCCCAACTCTGTTCATGTCTCCTCCACCTGGAAGGACAGAGTGCTCCTGGCCTTCGCCGGGTGCACCCCACCAGTTCCCGCGGGCTTCCGCCTGCCCCAGTCGGCTCTCAGCTGCGGCTTGCGCCTGGCGCCAGGGAAGGAGGCGTTGGCAGCGGAGGGATCTCGATCACACACGCGCCACACTTAACTCACACGCTGATTGGCTGGTGGAGCGCTGGTCCCACATCAGCTGCCACACCAAGGTTGAGAGCCAACCAATCGCTAGTCGCTCCGATGCAGGGGTCGCGCCTCTCAGCCAATCTAAAAGGAGAGGCGGATAAAGGCGTGCCCAATACGAGCTGGGCAGTGGGGCGGGGTCGTCCTTCAACCTCAAAGGCCCACGCGTTGTCACCTTGACAACCGGATGAGTACAGGACCAGTTATCCTATCCCAAATGCTGGTCTCCCCCAGTCTCGATAATAGTCACCCTTGCTGTCGCTGACTCACAGCCTAGAGCTTGGCTCCTGTGGGACAAAAGCGGGGATTTTCATTTGGGACACGGTTACTCTAACATTTGTATAACATTCATAACATTTAAACTCAGATGTGAGTACATTGGGCTCCTAGTGAAACCCAACGAAGTGCAGAGAGAAGGAAGTGACAAATAACCAGGGTCACAGAATACAAAGTGGCTGAACCAGGAAGCGGACTCTCACCCAACACCAAGTATCTGACACTTTGATCTTGGACTTCAGCCTCCAGAACTGTGATAAGTAAGTGTTCCTTGTTCAAACCCTCCAATATAGGGCATTTTTGTCATAGTAGATCAAATGGACTAAGGCAAGAACCTTTTTATACCCTTTTACTGAAGACCCGGAGCATTTGTTTCAGTGGGTTATATCTCCCGTTTAGAATTAATAATAAACTTAGAAATAATTACCAAATTAAAAATAAAACTTGAGCAACATATATATATATGGGGGAGATACACACACACACACACACACACACACATATATTCATTTAAAAATAACAATAATAAGCCCACTACAAGTTAACATACACATTTTTTATGAAAATAACTAAACCGATGATGGCTGTGACGGAGGCAGCTGGCGTGGTGGAAGCTGATGAAGCTCAAAGGGGGCTGGACTAGGGTGGGACGTCTGGCTCTCATTGTAGGGACATGCGTTGTCCCCTCGGCCAGCACGCATCGCCTGGTGAGGACTGGCTCCTGTTTCATTAATTCCTCTGGGTCCCCATCTTCCGTCCTAGCGTGCTGTTTCATTCCAATCTTTCTTTTCTGATGTATTCTTGCAAAAAATGGTTATTTTAACCTCATATTTACTTTGCTCATGGACAGTTTTCCTATCTCACTCTGGTTCCTACTTTCTCACCAGCACGGCTGCCGTGGCTAACTGTGGCCTTCTCTGCCCGCTCGCTCTCCCAGGGCTCTGTCTCTGGGCCGGCCAGGCAGCCTCCAAAGACGGTCACGGTGACTAGCCTCACACTGTCCCCTGGGGGCCCCTGCAAAACTCTCCTTGCAATATAAATGTATTCAGGAGCAATACTGTGGGTCTTAGTGGACTTGACTTTCTCTTGCTACATTTGTTCCTGAATGTTTGCTAGGAAAACCATTTTTAGCACCCACAAAGTATCTCTACAGTATCTTGGTTCGGGCGGGGCTGGAAGGGTGGTCATCAAAGCCCTGCTAGGGTGCCCCTAATTTGCATATAAAAATACAGGATGCCTGGTTAAATTTTTGTTTTCTATCCTCTCCCAAGGACATGCTTACTGATTTAGAGAGGAAAAGGAGGGGGAGAAACATCGATTGGTTGCCTCCCATGCACAACCTGACCGTGGACCAAACCTGCAACTCAGGCATGTGCCCTGACCGGGAATCGAACCTGTGACCTTTCCGACTATGGGACAGTGCTTCAACCAACTGAGCCACACCAGCCAGGGCAGGATGCCTGGTTACATTTGAATTTTAGATAAACAACAAATACATTTTTAGTGTAAGTACATCCCATGTACTATTTGGGAGATACGACCATCTCAGATGGGGGGCAGACTCACAGAATCACCCTTACGTGTCTGCATTGGGAAGACTCCACATGTTTGGCTGGAAGTGATCAAATATACTTAGGAAGTCCAAGCAGCAAAATTACAATAAACATTTATTAAGCTGTAATTTTCACAGTATTTTAATTCTGTTCTGAAATCAGTCTACAAATATCTCTACATATCACCAAAGCCAGTTATTCAATAAATAACAGGAATGTATCGCTTTGCCAAAAAAATTAAATTAAAAAAATAAGCCTTATACATTTATGTCTATACATGATATTTGTAGAATCAGTTTCTCAAAGCTCATGGGGCTGAACTGCGCACACCACGCATGTACACGCACACACACACACACACACACCACTATATTCAGATCAGATGGATTTATGTGAAGCGCCAAATTAAATGCTCTATCAAATTCATAGCCAGGTACACAAAATCAGAACCAAATCGTGAGTGCACGGCAGACAATGGGCAGCGTGCCTCACACGTATGATTTCCGGTTAGGAGGAGGGAAGTTGCTTCAGTGACTTCGAGCTGAGCGCTAGTCACCGTCACCATCACAAGGAATCAATTAATTTACAGTACTCAGAGATTCAAAACACATGCAGATACTCAATTAAACACTACAACCTTTAAATCTGCAAAAAGACATGGGAACATGTGGTCGCGAACGCCCCTAGCGGCCACGAGTGCTCATCACATGACGCAAGTGACAATCAGCTTAGATGCCATTATGAGGGAACATCTGGTCTCGGTGTACCTGCTGCGCGACAAGCTGTCATGGGAGAGGAGAGGGCAGAGTTCAAATGCAGACCGAAGCCTGTTTTTCTCAGATATTGTACATCGTATCCATGGCTGCCTAACACTAACTTTACAGGTACCGTGTTAGATCCTGCAAAAGATATAGAATTCTATTATTCACAAGTGAGGTGCAAAAGTCCAACTACTCCGGTGGCCATAAACAAAAACTCCACAGAATAGTGATCTGTCATTTAAAAGAAAAATAAAGCTGGGGCAGGTGACACCCGGGTGGCCGAGGGCTGCGTTTCTGATTGAGTCAGCCACTTCAAACCCCAGCAGGATGAAGGTGGCGGCACCGACCCCTAAGGCAGATGGATGTCAGTCATCAAACACATCTTAAGTAGCAGGCAGCGTGGGAATGAAGCCAGGTAGGATTCTGAGAGTCTGCATTGGCTGTTTGACATGTCATTCCCAATCTCTCCGTAAGGCTGCTGAATCAGAGACGGATTAACGGACAAAGTCCCTGTGGTCCCCGAGAGCCAGCCCTGGTGGATGCCCAAAAGTCCTGACCCTCCCAAATACAGACCCTGACCCACACGGGCACCCAGCAGAGGGTGCCAGCGCAGACCCCAGGGCCCCTCTCCCGGCTTAGCTGCCTGGGACAGGCTTCGTGGGGCCCTGAGTGGCTTCAGGGACCTGAGTATTAAAATCCTTCTTTCAGTGGCATTAACCCCTGTGTGTGTCACTGTGTGGTCACCTTTATAAGTTAAGACCCCGACACAATGCACAAGACAAGCTTTCAAGTTCTGTTGCCGTGCCTTCTTTTGTGGAAATGACATGTGGTACCCCTGCAACGTGAAGCAGAAGACCCCAGAAGGCGGGGAATGCTGACTGGTGTCCGGGAATGTATTTAAGGAATTAGAGCAGGCTTTGCCCCCCTGAAAGCATCTTTTTCTCGAGTGTCAGGTAAGACAACATTCTAGACATCGGTCCCCAAGCATCCCCACGAACCCAGCAATTGGGAGACAGTTGGTCCTTTCCTTTTCTGGACTAGTTTCTGTCCTTGGAATTCATTGTGATACTGAAATATCAGGAAATTAACACTGATTATTTAAAAAACTGAGTCTCACTTGGAACAGATCCATGGTAGCTCTTGCCAGGATGTTTTTGTATCCCACTAAATGGAATGTTACACTAATATATTCTACAGCCCTGAAGATTAAAAAAGGTCTCTTCAAGGTATGAGATAATGGTACAAAAATACATTTCTCCATGTACAAAAGAGAGAAAAAGAGAAAGAGGTGTGTGTGTGGGGGGAGGCCAAACACCCTCTGGGCTTCCATGGAATGGAGAAAGGAAATCCCCCAGCTCTGTGGACCCCCACAGAGAATAAGCCCCAACAAAAGTCAAGCTTCTGCATTAAAAAGCAAGAGTCCCTCAGCCCTAACACCAAGGATTTCCATCAGAATCTCAGACGAGGTCCTACCCTGAAGCGACCCCCATGAAGTGAGGCTCCTTCTGATGCAGACTGACAGACATCTGTCCCTGGAGCACTCCCTGACTGTAAAAAGGGCCTCCAGGGCCCACGTGGTAGGCAGGGAGCAAAGTCTCAACCTCAATTTTCAGTTATGCTGGTGGCTGGTCTGGGGGTGTGGAGAAGGCTCCCTCGGTTTTCCGAGAGCTAAAATGGCTTTCTTACCTGGACCTCAGGCCAGCGCAGGGCCCTTCAGGGTTCAGGTGCGAGGGCAGGACGGGGAATGGAGTGACCATCACACCCAGGCCAGTGAGAGTTTAAGACTTAAAAGTTTTCTGCAGACCTGGCTGGTGTGGCTCAGTGGACTGAGCACCGGCCTGTGAACCAAAGGGTCACCAGTTCGATTCCCAGTCAGGGCACATGCCTGGGCTGTGGTCCAGGTCCCCAGTAAGGGGCACGCAAGAGGCAACCACATGTTGATATTTCTCTCCTTCTCTTTCTCTCCACCTTCCCCTTTGCTCTAAAAATAAATAATATCTTTTAAAAAAAAGTTTTGTGCAGAATGTGCCAATCCCCTCCTGGTCAGCATACGCAAAGCCATGTTTTGTACCTAAGCAAGTTGAGTGCACACACAGAAATGGGGGGACCCGGTGGCCCCCCCCACCAAAGTCCTCCATGCTTGGTGCTAAAACACATTCACTCACAAGTATCTCAATGGCAAAACTGGGTGGGCAGCGGCAAGCCAGAGAGCCCAGGCTTCAAGTGCCGGGGAACCCACATCCGCCCAGCACACGGGAGGAGGGAGACCAAGGGCCCTCGCTGTGCACCTGTAGAAGAAACGTTTCCTAACGACCCCTCAGAAACACCTGCTTCTGTTTTCCAGCTAAAACCTCATGGGAGCACCGTCCCGGGGCTGGCCGGGGACTGAGTTACTGCAGCGTGGACCACAGGCCTTGCTTCTGCCTGACCAGACAGGGAGGGGGCTCGGGTGGGGGCTGACTGCTAGGGTGCGGAGGTGTGCCAGGGAGGGCTATGGAGACACTGGGGGTCCCCAGCAGCCTTCAAAACCACATTCGGCAACAGCGGGGCTTCCTTTCTGTGTCCTGTTCTCTGGGGAATGCCAACATGCCTGGGGGTCCTGGGAGGGGGCATTACCACCAGCCTCTGACCCGAGCCACGCAACCCCCGCCCACCCCCAAGCAAACGCCCACAGCTGTCCTGCTTGGACCTCTCTCTGCCCCTGGAGACCACCTCAAACCACAAAGACACCACAGACCCCTGACACAAAGCCCCTAGCACGGGTATCGTAACAATTTCAGAAGAAACAATTCACATCTCCTCCCAGGCTCATGTCTGCTGTTTACAATCCCGGAGGTGCTTTATGAGCATCGCGAGGCTTGGAAATGCTATCACCTGCTATGGTCCTTTTTCCCTCTGGGGTCCTGAGCCAACCAAAGACAAAAGGCAGCCAATAAGCACAAAAGCCCTCGAGAGCAGCAAGTCCTTCCCACACAGAACCAGCCAGCCAGCGGCAAGGTGAGAGCCGCCAAGAGATTCCTGAGGCAGGACAGCTGGGGACGGTTCTCTACCGAATGTGCAGCTCAAAATCCATCCAAGTGCAGGACGGGGGCTTGGCCAGGGTCCCTACGAGAGACGTTCGGTTCCACCCTCAAGCCCAACCGTCTACACTCAGAAGCCACAACGTTCATCAGCTCAGTCACCATCAGCCCAGAATTACCATGAAAATCCGCACTCACCTTGTAGGAACATGGAAACAGTGCACACAGACCTCCCCCCAACACCTACACTGCAAAAACACACACTTAACTCTTCTCAAGTGTCCAAGTTGCAGATTCTTTCCCCTCTACGTAAAGTTTTTAAGAAACTCGACTCAGGTCTGCCTTTATTAAAAAACCTTACAAAAGATGTATTTAAATGCTTGAAAAAATTAACTCTATGCTCTATGCAGATAAACTTCTCTGACTGTACAGCTAATATGGTTATATCCTTTGTTTAAAAAATATCTCTCCCACTAACAACACCTGGCAGGTAGCTCTACTCGGAGGAGTGCGTCCTTGCTCTCGGAATGTGTCCTGAGAGGCTGGGAGTGGCCGGAAACACCCTCACAGAGCGCCCCCTCTCTTGCTCAGGAACGTTTATTAAGATTGTTTGGGGTTCGCCGTCCTTTTCTTCCGCCTCTTCTTCTGTTTTCGGAGAGAGGGCGCCGGTGTGAGGGGACCCGGCCGGCTGGCTGGTTGTCACTTGCTGTTGGCGCGGTCGAGGCTCTCCAGCACGCGGCTGAGGCGGATGTTGAGGACCCGGACCTGGTTCTCCAGGTGCTCCAGCTTCTCCTCCACGCTGGGGCCGCCGGGGCCGCCCCGCCAGTAGCAGCCCACGGGCCCGGTCATGAAGTAGACGGCCACCACGAAGCACAGGGGCAGCACCGCGCTCTCGGGGTCCCCCTCGTACTTGTGCAGGATGTACACGCAGGACATGGAGAACAGGAGGACGCGCACGATCCAGAAGAAGCGGCCGAACACCCCGTGCAGGATGCTGAACGTGAAGGTCAAGGTGAGAGACAAGAACCAGTAGGCCAGGAGGACGACGCCGACCAGCATGATGGCGCGGGCTGGGCTGCTAGCCACCAAGGCGGGGTTGAAATACTGGGACATGTTCGAGACTGTGGGAGAGAGAAAAGAGGGACAGTGGCCAGTTACAGGGAGTCAAGTTTCTGTACAGGCTGAGCTCGGGCAGCTCAGCGCATCCACTGGGACTTCTCCACAGCCCCAGGAACTGAGGTGCGTCGCTGACCTCCACACACAGGCCCTGGAGAAGGCAGGGTCAACCTTTCAGCCCGCCCGATGGGTATAGGTCACCCATCAAGGCAGAGCCTGCAAACTGCCCTTCCGTTTCCTCCTTCCTTGCCTCCTGCAGCAACCAGCAGTGCCCACCATCAGGCTGGACACATGCTGCCCAGGATGAAGGCACTTCCCAGTCTCTTCCTTTATCGAGACATGACTAAGCTGCGGTCAAGGGCGGGAGAAACAGAAACATTTATCTGTGAAAGCTTCAAGTGTTTTTCTCAAGTGTAGCAGGATTGTGCTCTTTGCTTCTTCTTCTGCCTGATGGGATGTGGATGCGATGGCAGGAGTGGCAGCAGCTGTCTTGGGCCATGAGGGAAGAAATGCCATCTCCTGGGGAGCAGCAAGACGGAAGGTGCCTCGGTTCTAAGGGCGACAGGCTGCGAACCCTCCTACCTGCCTAACCACCTACCTGTGAACTTTCAAATACGAGAAATAAGCTTCCATCTTGTTTAAGCTGCTGTTATTTGGGGGTTTCTTACTGACAGCCAAACCTAATGGTAACTGGTACCCACACACAAAGTTCCGCCCTAAGCGTGGAGCGAACTGGAGGAGTTGCATCTTCTGTGTGCCTGACTTGAGAAAACTTTCAAACAGAAAGGTTGAAAGAGCAGTAAAATCAATACTCCTGTGGAAACCAGCTGGGTTTCACAATTCTTCACGTTTGGCCACATTTTGCTTCATGTCTCTAGTCATGTACACTTAAGATGTGCACTCCATACTTCAGCGTGCCCCCCTGCCCCGTTTTACTGAGATATGACTGACCTACAGCACTGCGCACGTTCACGGTGACAGCATGACGACTCAAACACACTGACTGGGTCACCTCGTGAGCTTAACTAACACCGTCCTCTCACATAGATACAAAAGAGGGAAAACCGTCTGCTGTCCTGAGAACTCCTAGGGTCTAGCACTCTCGTCACAGCCTCTCCACACAGCCTACGGCTGGCTGTGGCCTTGACATTGTACCTGACACCCGAGAACTTATTTGCCTAGAGCAGCAGGCGGTACCTTGTGACCATCTCCATCCAACTTCCCATCCCCGTCACCTGCCTCTGGTAACCGCACATCCGATCTCCTTTCCTGTGGGTTTGGGTGCCCCCCACCCCCCAGATTGCACATATAAGTGAGATCACACAGTACTTGTCTTTGTCTGGATCATCTCTCGGAGCACGAGACCCTCAGGGCCCACCCGCGTGGTCAGAAACGGCAGAATTTCCTTCCTGTGATGGCCGAATACCACCCCATCACGTAGCAACCACGCCTTCCCTGATGAACGCTTAGGCTGTTTCCACATCTGGGCCACTGATGGTCACGCTGCAATGAACGTGGGGTGCAGGAGCCTCTCAGACAGGGGGTCCTTGTTTCCTCTGGACACAATGCCAGAGGTGGAATGGCCGGGTCATCTGGCAGACCCATGTTTCATCTTCTGAGGAAGCTCCACGCTGTTTGCCACAGTGGCTGAACCAATTCACACTCCCAGTGACCAAGGACGAGGGTTCTCCTACCTCCTTGTGTTTGGGGAAATCGGTGTTCTGACAGGTGCAGGGTCTGATTTGACTCCCCTGCTGTCTAGTGGCACCAATTGGTGGCTTTTCACACACCTGTTGGCCATTCATTATCTTCTTTGCAAAAATGTCTCTTCTGGTCCTGAGCCCATTTTTAATAGAATTACCTGGGTTTTTCTTGCTACTGAGTTGTATGAATGCTTTATATATTTTAGAACGGTACACAAATACCTCTTCCCCACGTCGTAGGTTCTTTTCATTTTGTTGCTCATTTCTTCACCTGCGCAGAAGCTTCTGAGTTGGACTTACATTATTTATTTTTGCACTTGGCATCAAATCCCCCAAATCATCGCCAAGACCGATGTCAAGGAGCATACCGCCTATGTTTTCTTTCGGAAGTTTTACGGCTTCCAGTCTCACGTTCGAGTTTCCGGTCCATTTTGAGTGGATTTTTGAGTGGTGTCCGAGAGGGGTCTAGTCTCGTTCCTTTTCATGGGAGTACCCAATTTCCCCAGCAGCGCTGATCGAAGACCGTCTTTATTCCAGGGCACATTCTTGGCTCCCTCCTCCAATCCCAGTGGACCACACGTGTTGGGGTCAGCAAGTTCCTGGGGACACTGCTGCTGCTGCTCTGAGGGTCTCGCTTTAAGACCTGAGAGCCCAAGTGCAATCTCGTCTGTGCATAAGGGGAGGGCGGGGCCTGGGCTGACGCAGACCTGACAACTCCGGACGTGACGACTGGGCGTGGCTAAGTGTGCACCTAGACCAAGCTTGAGGCAGGAAGGCTGGAAACTGGGGCTTTCCGAGTCCCTAAAAGCGTCTGCACTGTGAACGTCTCGTCCCCTCCCTGCAACCCCACGTGTGGTGTGATGGTTGGGCACAAACTCGTGAACAGCAGCCTCCCCCAGGGCTGAGGGCACCCAGGGTTGCCCGGACATCCCCGAAAGTCACGATGACAAATGCCTTCATGGTGCCTCCTGGAGGCTTCAGGGGCACTTTGACTAAAGTGGCCTTGACTTTGGAGCTGAGCTGCACACTTAACCTCTGCGGAAGGACAGGCTCAGCCCAGCCTTGTGGTCTTGGACTCCTGTGAGCTTTTATTTACACCGGTTCCATCTATCGGTATTTACCACAATAGAAACTGACGTGATTTTCTTAAACTTTTTTCTTTAAATAGACAATTTTCAAGATCGAGGCTCATGGCGAAATTCAGCAGAACCCTCCAGCGGCTCTGAGGAAGCTCAGGTCCCGGCCTCCCCCAGCTCCTGGGGCTTTGCTGGCTGACGGTCTGGCTCACACCAGCTCTCACCCTGATCTGTCTTCTCCTTCTTCCTGTGTCTCTGGGTCCAAATGTCCCCTTCTCACGAGGCCACCAGGCATCCTGGAGTAGGGCCCTCCCTACTCCAGCTCGACCTCATTTTTAACCCCTGACATCTCCACTGAGCCTATTTCCAAATCGGGTCACATTCTGAGGTCCTGGGAGTTGGGGCTTGAATGTGTGACTTTTAGGGGCACACAATCCAACCCACAGCATGCACCACTCAAAGACAAGTGGATGTTTTCTTGGCGGACTTGCTTCTGGGTCAGGCCCTTGCTTCTGATGTCCGGGGGCTGACATCACTTCGCACCCGCTGAGTCCCCGTGGGAGGCATTGGGGAAGGCTGCGCAGGACGCCGCCGGACACAGGCAGCCCCATCCGCAGAGAGAATCGAGATTGGGCGGTTCCCGGAACCGCTGGATGACCTCCTTTTCCAACAGCAGCCCCTACGTAAGTGTCCCTGTGTTTCCTAGGCATTTACTGCGGGCCGGGCGCCGTCCTGAAAGCTCTGCAGGAGTGGTCCTCAATCCTCACGACTCGCCGATGAGACATGCAGCGTTTCCCACGTGAGGACTCAGGCACGCAGTGACTTGCCCAGAGTCCCCCAGCTAGGACAGGGCAGCACTGGAGTCGAAGGGCCTCCCGCGAAGGCTGTGCTGCGTGTCAGAGAGGCTGCTGGCCACGTGTCCCACGTACGTACTGCCAGTCCCAGCCGAGACGCACTGTGTCAAAGACAGACGAGACTCCGAAGACTGAACACCCCAAAATGCAAGACACCTCAATCATCATTTCCCATGTTGATGACAAGTTGAGAGGACAATGTTTTGGACCGAGGTAACTGAAATACCTTATTAAAGTTAATTTCACCAGTTTCCTTTTTCATTGTGACAGGAACATGTCACCTGACATAGGTAGCTGGCTGACTATTCCTGTCATACCGCTCTGGGCTAAGACATCTCCGTGTTAACAACACCTGGAATGTTCTGAAGGAGGAAGCTAGAGGACCATGCTCACCGAAGGCCTGTACCAGACCGTCCAACCTGTGAGCATTTCCTGTCGAGACTTTTATACACTTGAACTTCTAAGCCTAAGACACAAATCACAGAGGCCTTCGGATGCTTTGAAGCCGATGCACCAGATGAAAGGCAAGACACTGTGACACAGGGGTCTCCCCTCCGCAGTGCGGACGAAGGTGGGCATCTACTACCTCCAATTCTGTCCAGGTATGTGGACGGCTGTCTCCAGTCTGGTTTTTCAGCCTGAGAGGCAGGCAATTCCTTGCAACCAGGTTTGTCTCAGCAGGCTCACGGCTCAGGGAGGGACATGCCGAGAGCTGAGAGATCCGGGCAGGTGGAGAGCGCGGGTTCCGAGCGGGATTGCACACAGTTGCTGCATCTGAGTTCTGCATTGGCTCAGCCTCAGTCCCGGGGGGGCGTCGGCAGCCCCAGGGGCTGCGGGCTGCACAGCCTACTCTCAAAGGGCCACGGCCACAGATGGTTCCAAGTGGCTGAGGGGAAGGACAGCAGGTGTGACCCAGGGCTTTGGGCTCCACCTTCAGCCCAGGTCTCCCACGTGTAAGGCGGGAGTGTCAGGGGCCAGCAGGACGACTCTGCAGGGACAGAGCTGTACTGGTTTCCTGGGACTACTGGAACAAACAACAGCACTTAGTGGCTTAAAACAGAGTGTTTTTAAGAGAAAACAGAGTGATTTCTCTCCCCACTCTGGATCAAGGTCAGGTTGGGTCGGGGCTTCCACTGCAGGCTCTAGGGGAGGCCCCTGCCCTGTGTTGTCCAGCCTCTGATGGCTCCTGGCACCCTTGGCTGGTGGCCACGTCACTTCAGGCTCTGCCTCTCTTATCGTGAGGCTGTCTCCTCCGCCTGTTTCTTTCCGTCTCTGTGTCCAAACGTCCCTCTTCTTATAAAGACGGCAGGCGCTGGGTTCAGGACCCACCCTGATCCGGACGACAGCATCTTAACCCGACCCCATCCGCACAGACCCTACTCCTGGGTGAGGCCGCCTGTACCGGGACGGGGCCTTTCTGGAAGGACACGGTTAATCACACCAGCAGCGTAGCGGCAGGGTGACAGTCCTCCACCTGGAGCTAACACCAGGCCCCTCGGTGCCAGGGCAGACCAGGGTGAAGAGTGCAGCTGGAAGGTACAGGCGAGACCCCAGTCCCGGGAGCTGAGATTCCGGAGAGGAGACCACACCCCCCTCCGCACACACAGGAGGTTACAGCAGACCAGTGCATAAAGCAGGGGTCCCCAGGCTGCAGATCGGTCCTCCAAACATTAGGAACTGGGCTGAAAGTGAAGTTGCCTGAGACCCGCCTCCTATCTCTCCACCCCCCACCGTGGAAAAAATGGTCACTGGTGCCAAAAGGTTGGGGGCTGCTGCCATAAAGAGAACGAAGGGATGGTGTGAGAACAGATGCTGTGGCTTTATATGGGGTAATCAGGGTGGACCCCTTGGAGGAGGTGTCACATAGAACAGACCGAAAGATGAAAACAGCTGAGCAGACAAAGGGCTGGGGAATCGCTCCTGGCAGAAAACACCTAAAGGGACTCCTGGAAGGGGTGAAGGCCAAGCCAGGTCCAAGAACAGGGCAGAGGCAGAAGCCGGGAAGATCCTTGGAGCTCACAGTCCTCACGTAACCCCTGTGTCGATTCCAAGTGCAGCCGGAAGTCACTGGGCCATTTGGGAGAGTGATCTGAATTGATTTATGGGGGTTTTTTTAAATTATTTTATGCAATACAAATAGTAATAAAAAAATCACCCGGGCTGATGGCCGAGAGGGACCACGGACAGCCCGGGAAGAAATCCCACTAGGAGGCAGCTGACCATGCAGGGGACAGCCAACCGGCCGGCAGAGGCCGCCTGCTGGCAAGACCGGCCTTGGCTCGCGTCTGCGAACTTGGATTTCCAGAGTGCTGTGAATCACAACAAGAAATATCTATTTCAGCTTTGTCGCTGTTTCTGGCCCTGGGTTCCTAAAGCCCTTGGAATTTCCTCCGCAATAACAACAAAATTGTCTTGCTAATTCCTACCAAGTTCCTTTTGATCGCACCTAAGTTTGTGAATGAAGTGACTTTCAGAAGCCCCTAAAGGTGGGACTGGTTGCCAGGGAAAACACTGTGCGATTGGAGGGCTGGAACATTCCATCCACACTCCTGTGTTCAGCGAGGGGAGAGGGGCTGTCGGTGGGCGTGCCCACGTGATGAAGGCTCTGTAACAAGCCAGAGCAGGGGCTTCGGGGGGCTTTCCAGGGTGGTGAACTCAGAGAACAGAAGCTCCGAGCCCTTCTCCCTGACCGTCCCATGCATCTCTTCCATGGAGCTGTTCTTGAGTTAAGTCTTGTAATTAGCTAGTAATCTGGTGAGTAAACTCATTTCTTAAGTTCCATGAGATGATCCAGCAAAGTAATCAAAGCGGAGGAGGGGGTCACGGGGACCTCTGGACCATAGGTGGCTTCTATCAGAAGCCCCGGGACACCCTGACCTGTGACGGCACCAGCAGTGCGGCCGTCTCGCAGGACGGGGCCCTCGGCCTGTGGGATCCGATGCGTGTCCAGGTGGTCATGTCAGAACTGAGCTGCGTTTGCGGGACCGCGGTCAGCGTCCGGGGAGAATCGAGTCGGCTGCCTGGTGGTGCGGTGTTGGAGAAAGGGGCCCCGCTCCCCGATGACGGGGCTCCCTGTGTGCGTGGTTCAGGCTGACCCCTGCTCCCTTCCTTCCTTCAGGGAGTCCGGGATTCCGGGACCTGCTGGGCAGAGGGGGTGCACATGACCAGCCCATGATAACACCCTGAGTCTCTAGTGGGCTTCCCTGGTAGGTGACACTTCACGCAGGGAGTGTCACGGCTCGTCCCTGGGGAATGAAGTGTGTCCTGGGTGACCCCCCCAAGGAAAGCTCTTGAAGCTGCAGCCTGGTCCCCTCCGGACTCGTCTCGCCTGCCTTTTCCCTTCGTTGTTTCTGCCTCGTGTCCTTTCACTGGAGTAAGCACCAGACACAAGCACCACCCCATGCTGGGTCCTGTGAGCCTCCCTGGAGAGTCACCGAGCCTGGGGGAGGTCTTGGGGACCCCGACACGCCGCCAGACCTCCTGGAGGGACAGGCAGCAGCCTGGACCCGGGCTGTGTCCTTGACGTCCACAATCCCAGCAGCGGCCTCCCGGTGTCCAGATCAGGGCAAGGGCGGCAGCCCCCTGCGGGCAAGTCACCTGGGTCCGGGGTTCACATGTCACTCCTTCGGGCTCTCAGATGATTCCATGAGCACCTCACTCTCTGAATTAAACCCCTTCCTACTTAAGTGACCGGAGTAGTTTGATATGGGTCCCAGAGGAACCACCCGCCGCTCCGCGAGGTTGGCCTGGAGACAGGCACCAAGACACTGCCCTTGGCACCTGATCCTGAGTGGCATCTGTGAGTCTAGGCTCCAGTGGACCCTCTGTGTAAGCAACGATCACAACAGGTGTTTATCCCAATCCGCACTGCCCCCCGCAAGGCGTGTCACAAACCACCCACTGTGGGTACCCGTCGCACTCGAAGAAACCACCAGAACAAAACAGCGCCTTGGAGGAACACCCCCCCCATACCTACCGTCAAGTCCCAAAACATCCAGGATCTCCGTCCACACTTTCCACACAGTTTCCAAAAATATATCCACCCCCAGCACGAACCTCTCGGTCAGCCTGGTCAAGAACTGCAGAAACAAGAGGGAGGTCGTTACTCACTCGGCCGGCGTAGCCTTCTCCCAAGTTCACAGTTGACACGCCAGTGGAAAAACTGAACCGCCACTGCTGCCACCATGGCCGCCGGCCACCATGAGCGGCCGAGGAGCCCAGGGGACTGAGGAGCTGGGACCGATTGTCGGCAGGCCCAGATCTGAGCAAAACTTGAGCCAATGTCCCCCTTGCAGAACAAGCAACGCACCCACGGGAGACAGGAGCCTCTACGCGGCGCAGCTGCCTCGCTCCCAATCTAAGTGCTCCCAGAACCCCCTGCTCACCCCTCTGTCAAAGCCTCCGTCTGATTTCTCGTTTTTATTTCTACTTATTTATTTTTCAGTTACAGTTGGCATACAATGTATGTTAGTGTCAGGCGCACGGCATAGGAATTAGACGTCTACAAACCTTACGAAGCAACCCCCCCACTCATAAGCCTGGTGCCCACCCCCACACCATCCAAAGTCAGGACATTAGTGACTGTATTCCTTCCACTGTCCATCACGTCCCTGGCTCACTACTAGCATCGAAGCCATACCTCCCCGGCCCTCACAGACACGGAGCCCCTCCCACCACAGGGCCTTTGCACATGCTGTGCCCTCAGCCCCTTTCGCTTCTCCAGCGGCTCACTCCCCTGGCTACACCTCTCCGGTTACTTCCAGTTCCACAGGGGGTGGGATGAGTGTGGGCGCGCCAAGCTCCCTGCCACGGAGTAGCCCGACTGTGGGAGGAGAGCCGACCTCTGGCGCCTCGCGTCCCTCCTCTGTGAGACAGAGGTGCCAGCCACAGGCCAGGCTTCAGTGAGGGCCGCCCACCGTTCCTGTTATGGCATCCCATTTTTTCCTGCTTACCGACACGCGGCCCTCTGAAACCATCTCAACCTATCAAGGCTTCACGTCCGCACTCCGGGGCCAGGGAAGCTCCTCCGGAGAGGACGCTTCATCCACCTTGTGCTGCACGGAGTAGGTGCCCTTCGACTGTCGCCTCTGTCTGGCAACATCTGCATCCCCCCAAAAGAACCTTCGTCTCCAATGAGCAGTCACTCCCCGCCCCTCACCCCCTTAGCGGCCACACATCTGCTCCGTGTGTCTGCAGGTCTCTCGTCTGGGGGGCCGCCTGTTCTGGACGTGTCAGGTAAACGGAATCACACGGCACGCGGCCTTTGGGTCTTTCTGTTCATTCTCAAGGCTCACCCGTGTAGCAGAACTTCATTCCTGTTCACGGCTGAACCCGCCCCGCTGCGTGAGCAGACAGATCGCCGTTTGTTTACCCATCTGTCAGCCGACAGACATCTAGGCGGTTTTCCCACTTTCTAGCTAATGTGAAAGGTGCTTTTGTGAACCCTTGTGTACGAGGTGCTTAGCGATTTTTAAATGAATTCATGACTATGTCACTGTGTAGCCAGACGAATCCCTTTCCCATATAAACACCTCCTACCATTCGCTAGAGTCTCACTCAGTGCCTGGTGTCTTATGTCCCGGCCAATCGCATTCAACCCCCAAGTTATCTATCTCCTGTGCACAGCTGAGACCCAGAGAGGTCAAGCACAGGCCAAGGTCAGTGGGAAGCAGAGCCGGGGTCCCAATCTATGTCTGCCGGCCAGCAAGGCCCGTGCTCCAAGCCAGGAGGTCGTGGGTCTGTTTTAGACAAGTCCTGGACTGGCAAATAGGGCGCCGCTTCAAACACCTTCCACCTTCACAGCCCACCAGGCAGGTCTGGCGCGCTGGGAACTGCAGTTACCAGCCAACCCAGTTTTCCTTTCGTTAGGATTAACAACATGGTCGGTCCCCCACAAGCCTGGCTGGTCTGGGCTACGCTCAGCAGGAAGTAAAATAAGCCAGGTCAGCCTCATTTCTAGAAACTGCATGGTTGGGAGAAACCGGGAAAGGTCCCGAGGTGGGAAGACCGTGGGCGCCAGGCCCACGCTGCCTGGGTTCAAATCCTGGTTCTACCACTCAGCCTCAACTGCAGCCAGTCACTTCACTACCCCGTGCCTCAGTTTCCCCATCTGTAAAATGGAAACAGTAATAGCACCTACCTCCTAGGACTGTTCTAAGGACTGAGTTACTCTACTGATAAAAGCACTCAGCACACTTTAATCCAACAGCAGAAATTAGCCTTACAATGACCTCCACTGGCGGTGCGGAGCTCGGCTGACCCGATAGGATTCTGACCTCGAGCCTCCCAGAGTCCTTGCCAGCACACAGATGTCTTACCGAGGCCAACCCTGAGGGGAAGCCCTTAGGTAAATACTTTGTGTTTCTCAGCCCTGGGCCTCAGATTCCCTCAGAGAACCCTCTGCTGAGACACAGGTTGCTTCTGCTTGTCCTGCACGAAGAAGTCACACTTTTTGCTCCAAGACAAATGCTTTCTTCTTTCAAGAGGCTCAGGGCACAGACTCACCTTGCCCACACCCCTCAGGCCCAGGGAGACCCAAGGGCAGCCCGTCTGCACTCAGGTGTCTGATGGTGCGTTCCCCCCCCTCCAACCCCCTGCAGAGAGCTCACTTGCTCCAGAACCTCCAGCCTCCACACGGAGAGAAAGAAGGGTTAGAAGTTAGTTTTCCTAACAAATTAACCCGCCTTTCATTTCGCCTAAGGAGAAGGTCCAGCCAATCTGACTGACTGACTGACTGGGGTTTCATCGTTCTCCACCACCCCCCCCCCCCCCCAATCTCAAGTACCAGAGAACTTTTTTTTCAACCCTGAAAGCCCTTCCAGCCCAGTTAAGCAATGTCGGCTTGTGCCCTCGCTAAGCTATAACTGATAGCAGCTGATAACCAACTCAGCCATTACTCTGGGCCAGAAAAGTACTGACCGTCCACCATCACAAATTCGCCATGTTAGGGACATTAGCAACCCCACTTAACAGGATAAAGAAACTCAGACACTTTCCCAAAGCCATCCAGTCTGTAAGTGGTAGGGCCTGAACTTGAACCCAAACTTCTCTCCATTCCAAAGCCCCAGAACTAGGGCAGACAAAGCAATTAATAGTACGATGGCAAAGGAACCATATACCACAGGAACCTTCCCCACTCACTTCCTCTTTTTGGAGAATTACTGGTGAACTCTGGCCCCAATGGCGGCCTCATCCCACCCAGCTCCGAGGACAAAGTCCGGGCCGTTGGGGAGCCGGTAGACTCCCAGAGCTGCTCCCGAGCTCTCGACACCATTCCCGGGGCTGCAGGCTCCTAAACGGCTCCACAGTGCATGACACGCTCCCAGGGAAAGGCCCCACACACAGGAGGCGCTCAGGGGGGTTACAGTGCCAGGTGTCCAAAGCAACAGAACAGCCCGCATCTCTCCATTTTTCTTGTAAAGAAAATAAAAGCATAGATATCTTCAAATTACAAAAAAAAAGAGGGCTACAGGAGCCCAGAGCAAGTGGGTTGGGTGCGAGGCTACAGGACACCTGGGGTCGCTGGGGACAGTGCAGCAGCGTGGGGAGGGGCGCACGCGGGCAGGATGCCCCTGGGTACCCAGCACAGTGCCTGGCTCACAGTAGGTGCTCATTCAAACGTGTAGAATGAATGAATGAGAGGCGCGGCCGGCGTCAGCGCAGCCCAGGAGAGGCCCTGGCCGCGGCGCCCCAGGGGGCAAGGTCCAGGGAGAAGTCTGACGTGGAGTAGAAGGCGCCCCGAGGCCCTGAGCCCAGGCTCCTGACCCGACACTGGCAGGGCAAGCTCAGGGGTGCAGGCTGAGCACCCCTGTTCCCGACACCCCCCCACCCCACGCACCGGAGGCCGCGCTCGGCCCAGGCCAGCCCCGGCGCCAGGTGCGCGGCAGCCGGGGCAAGGTGACCGCGGGTGCTGGCCCAGAGCCCACCTTCTGAGCAACGCGCACATTATCCTCGCCGAACAGACTGCTGACGCTCTGCGAGAAGGTGTTGACAGTGCGGCGGTAGCTGTTCTTCTCCGTGCCTCCGCGGCCCCTCGCCCCCTGCGCGCTCGGGACCAGCAGCCCGAGCAGCAGCAGTAGCCATAGCCCAGCCCGGGCCCGGGGCCGGCCCGAGGCGCGCGCGCCCATCCTGGGGCCCGAGCGATGGGAGGACAAGAAGAAAGGTGAGGGCCGCACCGAGGGACGCCGCGACTCGGCGGGGACGCGTAGGCGCGCTAGAGCACCGCGTGCAGTGCCGTTGCCCGCCGCCGCCAATGCGCCACCTGCCCCGCCCCGCGCGCAGAGACGCGACCGCCCTGCCCACGCCTGGCCCCGCCCCCAGAGACCTGGACCCGCCAACCACCGGGCAGGAGCGGTCGCGACCCGTTTAAGGTCGCTTTGTCTCCCGGTACCCATCCTTCGCAAGCCCTCCCTGACCTGCTGGGGTCTCAACCTTTTACAGTTAATAAATACTTTTTTTTTTTCGGTAAAAAGCAACCCAAGCCTGGAAAACTGGCCTGCAGTTGATTGGAAAATATGAATTACTGTGGATATTATATATCACTGAGCTTAATAACTGTACCCACTAATTGGCCACGGTTGCCATTGGCAAGGGCACCTCCAGCTTCGTTCATTCATTCCGAAATGTTTACACAAAGGAAAAGCGTCTAGCAGTTTACCCCCTCCTGAACGAACTCTATTTCAGAGACGCAAAATAGCCAAAAGTTTTGTGGGTTTCGGTTTTTTTTTTTTTTTTAAAGCCCGGCTAGGAAATGAGGAAGGCGTGAGAGAATTCGACAGTCATTCTACAGCTCAGTGAAACGACCGATCCGGGAGAGGGTCATCCGGAGATGAAAACCAAGACGTTGGTAGCGAACTGGAAAATGAAGGGGCCCTCGTTGTCTTGACCTGGGCCCGCCAATCTTAGTAGCAGGAAGTGTCAGCACCGCCTATAATGGTTCCTGCCAAAACACTTTGAGCCATAATCTGATCTGGCCTCTACATAGAAGCAACAGTTAGCGGGAAACACGGGGAATGGAAAGGAAAATTTAGAAGGAGCAAAAGCAATCCGCCAACTCCAGAATGGGGAGCGCTGTAGAACAGCGCCAGTGACCCAGGTCATTCCATATGTTAATGGCACAGGAAGTGGAGAGACGGGAGGATTATTGGTATTTAAAGAGCTAAGAGCCATAGTAACCAAATGCAGTGCGAGGGCCTGTGTGCACCCTAAATCGAAGAAACCCTGTCGAACCAGACATTTTTTGAGACAACCCTGAAAATGAAACTTAACTTTTGCCAACCCAAAGTGTGAAAAACTGTACCATATTTCCGAACTTACATTTTTTTTCTGGATTCCTGGTGAGGTTTTCATATATTTATTGACCATATATTTTATCTTCTTTTTTAAAGTAAACTTTTTCATTGAAGTACAGCCTCTAGGAAAAACACACCAATCATAAGATGTCTCTCCACGAATTTAAACAGCACACAGTCACCAGCACGCATTTGGAGAAACGAACATTGGCACCTTCCCAGAAAGGCTCCTTCTGTCCTTTCCCATTCACTGTAACCCCCTCCAAAATTTAGGGGGCCCATCTCGCCTATTTATGAACTTTATGTAAATGGGATCACAAGTTCTGATTAGTTCCTTTTGCTCAGTGTTACGAGATACAAGTTGTTGTGTATGTCTTTTTCTTCTTGCAGAATACAATGCCTCTTCTCTTTTCTCTTCTCTTCTCTTCTCTCTCTTCTCTTTCTGAGAGAAGATAATGGAGGGAGAAAGGGGAAAACACATCAATGTGCCCTGACCGGGAATGGAACCAGAAGTTTGTCACTTTGCAGTAAAACACACAACCCACTGAGCCACACGGGCCAGGGCTAGAATGTTCTACATTTCTTCCGGAGATAATCTTTTGGTTTACATTATCTTAGAAGAAAATATAGGAGAATGTTCTATGACCTAATTAATAATTTAAAAACGGGCATACTTTTTACCTAATGAAATAAACATTTAAAGATTCTGGATTGTATCATCCTAAGCAATTAAAAACTGATGAGAATCCATTAAAATTAATATATAACCTTTACACGTGTTCATATGTATACCACCCAAATCCTTACGCATCACTGTGATTTTGTAGGGGTTCATTTTTGTTTTGGGGAAGGAGGGGAGTTTATCCAAACTCAGTCACACTCTTCATTCATTCATTCACTCATTCTTACATTGAACAACTATTTATCACATACCTACTCTGCCGCCAGATCTCATTCTCTAGTCCTCAGACGTTTTTCCTGGGAGTTTTTAAAAATAACTCTATTCTTCCCCAAATTCTAAAATAACTCCTAGAGCCCCCGCCTTTTTGTGTGATATCAAATATTTGCCCTTAACAAGTTAACGCTTTTAACAGGAAAAGAAAGTGGCCCGATATAACCGTTCTGTCTGCAAGATAATTACAGGATTCAGAAGACGTGTTATTTCTGAGTGCGCTGCAGACAGTGTGATGTGTAATGAGAGTTTTTAAAGCTAACAGATGCCTTCTCCTTCTATTCTTCTGTCCCTGCAATGGAAATATTTAGTGGCTTTTTACCACACAACTAATGTACGTTGCAAGAATGTCAGAACATGCAAATGAGAAACAAAAAGGAGTGAAGACATTTGTAATTAGGGGCAGGGTTATGTTCTTAAAGATGACAAAACACTCCGACTCCTAAGGAGTCAAATCAATAGTATTAAATAATTCAATTGAAGAGACTCAGACTACACCGAGGGAAAACAGCAGCTTGTTTAAATTGGCCCCACCCCGTCTCCAACCCGGCCCCGCCTTTCCACAGGGCCCCGCCTCCAGCCCCCGCTCCCCGAGGGCGGGTTGGTTCCAGCTCTCGCGAGCGCTCAGCCCGGAAGTTTTCAGGCTTGAGCGGCAGTCTACGAACCCACGTGGGCCGGGCCGTAGGGGTGCGCTGCTGGGCGTCCCAGGGCATCCCAGCCAGAGCTGAGCAGGGTCAGGGCGCCATGGGGAAGCTGCGCCGGCGGTACAATGTCAAGGGGCGCCAGCAGGCGGCCCCCGGCCCCTCGCAAGGCCCCCCAGAGCCGCCACCTGTGCTGCTGGAACTAGAGGGTAAGGCGTCCGGGGGCTGGGTTTCTGGAGAAGGGCCACCAAGGGTCTCGCATCCTGGGCCGGCTGGTGGGGGCTGAAAAGGTCTCCCGGACAGCAACAATCTTATTTTACCTGAATTTAGAACAATACCCGGGGTTTCTTTTGCTTAGAGACCAGCCCAACATAGAGAATTTGGGCAAGAAAGTAAGTTCACTGCATCCATCCCGATGGCTTCGATTATAATCTTGCCCTAAAGTCATATTTTGAGCCCAGACCTGCCTGCTCAACTCCAGGCTGCTCGACACTCCTGGTAGTAGGAGCACCTACAAAGTGCTAGGCGCTGGAAACATGACAGAAAAGGAGATTTAAGGGGAAAAAAACCCCGCCGTACCGAGCTTAGCTGCTCCTGGGAGAAGGCAGGAAGGCAAACACATAAACTGTACAAACCGTTGTATGGTTGTCAGTACTGAAGAGCTGAACAGAAGGGGTGATTGGGCAAGTTGTGATGTGGCGTAGGGTGGATGGGAAGGGCTTTCACGGAGAAAGCGTCATTTCAGGCAAGACCTGAAGGCGGCCAGAATGGCCAAGTGGAGGTGAAATTTAAAAATGGGCGCAGGGTCACCTAGGGCCTCCTGGGTCACAGTGTGGGCGATAGCCAACTTGCTTAAAATTGTCTCATTCTTAATGACGGTCACACAACCTCTCTTGCTGTTTACGTGAACATGGGAGCCTGAGCGGTTAATAATAGGATCAGACACTGCCCGTTTGGGGCACTGCAGTGAGCACCCCAGTGTTAGATGTCAGGCACAAAGGGTCATTCCCCAAGCCGCTGCAGTAGGTTGAGTTGAAGAGGGACGTGGTAGCTGAATGCTGGTCTGCGTCATATACTTTCAGAAGGTGACGTTTGGAAATAGGTACAACACAGACCCGGTATGTTGTAACGTTATTGTGAGAATAGCTTCTATCTCCCAGACCCACTGAGAGCAGGCCCCCGTGCCAAGGAACACCTCGTTATAATATATACCCCGTTTTTTTCTCCCCCCACACTGGGACGAGGGTGCCCTGGCTCACAGCAGATCCTGACCTGGGGGCAGGTGCTGGGTGGATGGGTCTGCACCCCCATTCCTGTGCGAGCATTCAGGGGGCTCCCACGGAGGGCTGGAGGGCCCCAGAGGAAACCAGCATTAAGGGGAACCCTAAGCACTGCCAGCATCTCCTGGCCCCTGGGCTGCAGGTCAGACAAGCGTGTCCTTGTAGATAGGGGCACATTGAAAGGAGTTGATGCCAGCAATGCCCTGGTCCTGCCGGGGAAGAAGAAAAAGAAGACCAAGGCCCCTCCACCTTCAAAGAAGAAGAAGCCTCTGACCAAGAAAGAACGGAAGATGCTGCAGAAAATCTTGGAACAGAAGGAGAAAAAGAGCCAGGTACACCTGCTGCCCCGTCAGGGTCTGCACATGGCTTTCCAGACTGGAGAAAGATGGGGAGGGGGGTAGGCGGGTCTGAGTTCCAAAATGCCAGCAGTGGGGAGACTGAGAAACCCGGTTGGTCTCTAGGCTTGCCAATTCACATTTGACGCTCTGTCAGGGTCCCCATGTGGGGCGCTGTGACTCCAGCAGGGGACAGTCCTACACTCATCCCCCAGAAGCACTCACTCTTCTGTGTGTCCTTTTAAAAGCTGGTGCAGCACTTTTCCCCACTGTTCTGTACCCTGTTTTCTTTTATTAATTGCAAAATCTATGTGTAGAAGCATATATAAAATACATATAACATTAAAGATAGTAAAAACTCACGACCTGCTCACCAGGGGAAAGAAGCCAAGGGGCACATTCCCACAGGCCACTTTTTGTTCAAGACAGTGTGCGGCCGAGTGAGGCAGAGAGAGCCTGTTTACCCAACCCGTACCCCACGAGGGGGCACGCAGCCACCCCAGCTCCCGCCCCTCGTCACGCATCTGCTGGTATAGGAACACCACGTGACGGAGTGATTACAAATGACTGTCAGTTTAAGAAGGCTATTGGCATCGGCCATGCTGAGTGTTGCGTAGACTCTCCCGTCCCTTCAAGGAGAGGGTTGTGACGCCATCCCACGTCTAACACCCCCATGTCCATCCCCAGCGTGCGCAGATGCTGCAAAAACTGAGTGAGGTCCAGGTCTCGGAAGCAGAGCTGAGACTCTACTATACCACGTCGAAGC